TTTTTTTTTTTTTTTTTTTTTTTTTTTTTTTTTTTTTTTTTTTTTTATGTTGTGTGTTGTTTTTTGTTGATGTGGTTTGTTGGTGTGTGTTGTGGGTGGTGGGGGGGGGGATGGGGGGGGGGGGGGGGGGTGGGTGGGGTTCTCCCTCATAAGGGCGTCTTAATCAGGGTATCGATCTATCAAGATAAATGTCTTAAACAGGGTATCAAAAATCGGAATTCTGTCTTAAACAGGGTAGGAAAATCAGCTACATTTGTCTTAAACAGGGTTTGAGGGGCCGCGCAACACCTCCCCACCCAGGGATATGTCGAGTACCCCCCGGGATAACTAGTAACTTAATTTTTTAAATTTCTTCATTTTTATTAATTAAAACTAGTAATAACCAAAGTTTACGGAGTTCGAAGGTCCAGCGCTGTGCTTTGCGTAAGTGTCACGTGACAGATGTCCAAAACACGCGTGATCAGATTACAAGTGATAGAAGGTCCAGAAGTCCAAACGATCGAATGCTGGCTACGTACATGCGAAGCATGCGTAATCACAACCTGGAGATTAGGATTGCGGGCTCCTCTTGTCACCCGCAGAAATAACTTACTCTTTTATTTTCCTTTATTTATTTATTTAGTTACTTAACATTTATTGCTACATTCATCACATTTCCGTTCTTTTCTTTTTACGTTTTATGCTATTTATGTTTGTAGTGAGGTTATTTTACTTCAGAACTCTTATATCATATTTCCAACTGTAGCGCTTTTTGTACTGTACAATTCACTTTTTTTGCTTCATTAGATCCCTTGTAGAGGAACGGCTTAACTGTCAGAAATATTGGAAAAAACTCAATCCGCTTTATTCTTCGCTGGTTTGTCATTATAGTTAACTGCCCTTAGCCCCCTACCCTCCCTCCCCCCTTCTCCGCCTTTTCCTCTCTTACGCGTACTAAGTACACTTTTTTGAGAATCTCTACAAAACGTGGGGCTTTTAATGGAGAAACACTTGAAAAGGAACAAATCCAGTACTTTTTACTGATACATCATGTTTTATTAAAATGTATTATGTTACAACCTGTAGTTAATGTTTTGACCCTTAAATCGCTAAAAACATACACGGGAATACATAAACAGTCTTCACTACTGGTACTGCCTCAAATCAAAATAAGATGTTCTAAGGCCAAAAGAAAAAACATACAAGACTATACAACATTGATCTCTGAGGCCTTGTCTGACAACTGTTTTTCTTCGCACTCTATTTAGTTTACGATAAATTCACAGAAATACAAATAGAAAAAGACAACAAAAAAATACATATATAGACCTAAAAACTATAACGATCAATTTTAGACTAACGGTAAGCTGCCAGCAGTTTAAACTAAAATACTGCAGGAAGCCATGATTCAACCTATTCTTACTTGAGAAAATTTCTTTTCGAATTTCCGGCGTGCAATCATATGGTACCCTGCGAGCAGAGGCTACTAGTTTCGATATTTACTACGTATGGCGTAAGGAGGGAGAGAAGCGACGACCGGAAATACATCTGCGGTCGCAGGCTACTGATAACGAGTCCCTAGTTTTCTTATTTCGCGGGCTCTTTCTGAATGAAAGCATGTTGCTAAATTGGGCGCGTCCATTTTCTCTTGAACCCATAGATCATGTAGAACCTACAGATCGTACCGAATTTCGTAGAGGGAAACCGAGCGAAAATGCTTACTTACTATTTAGGTTGCACCGTTGGCTTAGTGTCGTTGTAGTTGGTGTCACATCGCGCATGATCCTACAACTCCCTCCTGATTTCAATTCAAACCAGGTTCTAGCAGCACTTGGGCACAGGGAGCATGCGCTAGCTTAACTTTAACTTTTAGCGCGCCGTAGTGCCATACCCTCACCATAAAAACAGAACTACGGCCCCTTTTCGTAGTTAAAAATTACGGTAATAAAGAAGACGAAACTTAAATGGCGATTATTATTATTATTATTATTATTATTATTATTATCGTCATCATTATTATACAAATATTCTGCCACTGACGTTCAAAATTCCTTGTCTTATGTTTATCTATTCCTGTAAGCCCTAATAGTGAGCATCATCTCATTTTTCAAATATTTGTTTATGATATCACTGTTGTATCAAACATGAAGGTGAAAAAGAATAAGGGAAATGATTATAGGTCTTGACCTTAATCAATATTCTCCTCATCAGTACCAAAGGAAACCCATGTTGAACCTTGTGGAGAATATTCATGCTGATGCTTGAAGTAAGTAAGTTAAACAGAGCCTGTAAGATTTATTGCCTCACTCAGCTCACTGCCGACCAAGAACTCCTCAGCGCCGGACTCCACGCAAGCGCGATATCCTTCACGGTGATATGCTGTAAAAAGCGACGATGTAAAAAACTGGTTGACTGTCGAGGTATGTGGGAAGCCCACACAGAGCTTATCTGAAATCCAGCGAAGAATTTTCGAGCTTGAATGACAAGATTCGCAACAACAGAAAGTTAGGCGGTCAACATCCTGCGCCTCTAGAACTGGTCCTGGACCCCACAATGTTGTATCCAGTTCCTCTCCTGTGTCTTGGGTGTACTGGGCCCAAGTTCTGTCCATGTCTGCTGGAGGCGTGACCACGTTGTCAGGGTGACGAGGAGCAATGATCATTATCTCACCGGTACCAACCTCGGAGTAACCACCATCAAGCTTCTCGTCGAAGTACCGAACTAAAAATCGATAATGCCTCGGCTGTCGTCCTCGAGGGACTTTTACATATTCTTTACTCATCTGTCCTATGACATCTCGGCCGTCCAAACCAACGAACTCACAATTTAACTGTTCCCTCGCCTGATCCATGGATTTTAAGAGCCATTTCGAGTAGTCTGCGTCACTTGAAATAAAGCTTCCGTCAACGATGAGTATCTTTTTCAGCCTTTTCTTCAGCAGCGGAAGCAGACCATATTTCTCTAGGCGCCCGGCATCACTTAGAGATAAAACAGCAGGTGGATTGGGTCCGACGTTGTTAACTTGGAAGACCTCGCGTAAAAATCGCACGTGATATAAGTGAACGTGACACCACCTATTACCAACAACACAAAAACACGTAAATGGTTTAATACGAGTTCTCCATAAAGAGGCTAGCCCCGCTACAGGCGAAGTATAATTTGAAGCAAAGAGGAATGGAAACCCGAACATGCAAAGAAACAATTAGCAATAGTATTTTCTTTTCCCCAAAGTGGATTGAAGAAAAAGCGATGTTATGACGCAAAAACATAGGTGACGGAAAGTCATAGTTAGGGCTGGTTTACACGTACGAAGGGAACGTACTCAAAGCGCAACGAGCTTGACAGTGATAGCAAACATATACAGCCAACTCTCTGTTTTAAAACGGAGACCTTTGGGACCGGCAGTAAGTGTCCGTTTTTAGAGAGATGTCTTGCCTGCGTGCAGACGTATCCTATCTCCTTTGTTGCAAAGGAAATAGCAGACGTCTGCACGCAGGCAAAGAGATGTCCGTCTTACAGAGGGTCAAATAAAGGGAGTAAAGGGGTCATCCCGGTGAAATTAACAATTATTCCTCGAGCCCGAATGGGCTCTGAGTCAATAGCCCACGAGGCCGAAGGCCGAATGGGCTATTGACTCAGGCCATGAGGGCGAGAGGAATAATTGTTTTAGTAAAATCCAACTAGTTAATCAGAAAATATCGCGACAAAACAACTTTAGCTAGTTAAAGCTAGACTTTAATCCTTTTTTGCCGCCAAAAAGCCGGCTATAACATATAGTCTAGTAGTAGCTCAACCAATCAGAACGCAGAATTGATGCTAGACCACTAGTTGGATTTTACTAATATAATTTATTCGTTTCCTTTGTTTTATGGACTATTGTCAGGGTTAGGTTCATTGTTAAGGATGTTTTGTTTTCTTTGTTTTACGTCAGCTATACTACCCCGGAGATGAGCGAGTAAAGAAAGGCAGGGACCAACTCTAGGTGTCCGTTTTACCGAGGTGTCACTCTAATAGAGGTTTCCGTTAAGAGAGAGTCAACACAGCCAGTGCATTGGGAATAAAGTCAAGACTCAAGCTCAAGCACCAGACACAGAAAAAAATGCTATTTTTGTTTGTTCATGTCTTAATTCTTTCCCGGGTATAGCAAAGGACCTAAGACCTAATAAACTGATACTGTCTTTTCTTTAAAAAAGGACTGGATAGACGATTTCAATTTCATACCTCACAAACTTGTCAAAGAACCATGGTGGTTCACCACCAGTTGGCATAAGAGCTATGGCGATGAATATTATGAAGTACGTGACAAACACGGCCACAGCGTAGCCTTCCTCTTCTTTCATGTCCCACTCGTCACTCAGGGAAATAATGGCCAGGAACATCAAGGGAAAAGCCGCGATGGTTTGAATCAAAACTGTAAGAACCTACAATAGCAACATAACGTGCAAGGCATCTCAATGGGAATGAATACAACTATCGGGGTGAAAAGAAGAGCTGTGCATGGGTAGCAATGTTCAGCGAGCAAATTGCTCAGTTTCACATTATCTTGTTAAGGCAAACGCGTTTTTGTCGTCTGTAAGGGGATTGGAGCCTCCTTGTCAAAAATCCGCTACATCCAATGGAATATTTATTTGTTGCGAGAACTTTTGGATTCTACATAAACCATACTTAATTCTCTCTTTGTGTGTCTGAATAACAGTTCGGAATAAAAGTTTCCAATTACTCGAAAGGAAACGAGCCAGTGGGAGAAGCGAACGAAGGCTTCTGGGAAGAAGAAACACGAAATAAACAAAGGGAAGAAAAGAAAGAAACTGGGTGCTCGATTACCAGCCGCTGTTCGGGAAGTGAGCCCGTGCTACGCTCTAGAACAGCCGTATCTTCTCGGGGAGGAGTAAGAGAGCAGCGGAAATCGAGCCTACTGATAAGGCTAAATATTTTGTTCTTTAGAGTTCGTCATACCTTAGCTTGCCACGGGGAACAGCCCATTGTTTCGTTAGGATTACTTCTGAATCCTTTCCTGATAGTGAGGCCCAGCATGATCTGCAAATCTCTGAACGGCTCCTCCTGTTCCAGACTGAGGGCCATCACAGCAGCTGACGTTACCATGGCATCAGTTTGATGCACGCAGCCAGGTGACAGCTTTATCTCGTTGCTTTTTCCCGGTTCATGGTCGATTCGTTCGATTCTTTTTGGCGATAGAGACATCACGGCGTATGAGGGTGCTTTCAAAGACGATTCTTTGCACCAGTAATCGACTGCTACGTTGCTGATGTACTCTGGGGTAAGCGGCTCAAGGTCGGCCATCAGCAAGGGGTCCTTGGATGCATCATGCTGATGAGTACAGCAAGATAGAACTGGAAAGAAGTCAAGGATACTTATTCCCCTGCAACCCATCGAACCAACACTGTGCTGGGTAAAGAACGCTTTCTGAAGTCTCCATCTGAAAAGAAGACAAACCTGTTATTTGCTGTTTAATGCTAAAGGGGATATTTTTTGCGGCTTTCTTCGGCCTCGCTTTTTCTCTCTTTCCGATCCCCTTCCCATCGTCCCTCGCGTGCTTTCTTTTTTCCCTCTCCCCAGCCTCCCTATGACACAAAGAGGAGTGGAAAACTGAGATGACCGAAAGATCTGGTTCGAGTCTCAATACTCGGAGTGTGACACATGGGAGATTCTCGCTTCAAACTCATGGCTTATGGTTCACCCTTTTACTCCTCGATTTTCACAGAAAAAAACTTCTCTCTTTCAGGATACGATTACTCTGTCTCTTTTCCTTTGTTTTCTGCGCATTGAGGACTGAGCTTTGAAATCTGAAACTTGTAGAGCGATTAACTATCTGGCAACACGAGCAGGGAATCAGTCATACTAAATTTTCTCATGGTCCGTTCTGAAGGGAAATGCCATGAGAAGGAGTTCAGTGATCCAACTTACTTGTAGTAGGTATAAATGGATGTAACGCTGAACATCCCAAGATAAGGACTCAACCAGATGAATAAACTTGAAACCAAAAGCAAAGTGTAAAAAAGATGTGGATTATATTGGATACCAATGGTGCTTGTCTGGTAAACTCTCCACTTGATAACAAACGCGTAAAAGTAAAACACGAGAGCCAGCGATGCTTTCTTCCGTAATGGCGGAAAACCCAGCCAGAAGAAGATGCTAAGAACAACGACCGAGGCTTTGAGCCAGTACGGGAGAACATCAGTAAACTGTTGTATCAACCATGGTACAAACGTGAAAGCAAACGTCACACCGGTTATGATCTGGAGGAAGCGAGCGATTGAGCGTAATCTCAACGGAGCGCTCAGCTTGATTGCGTGACAGACGAAGAAAGTTACGGGCAATAAAATGAATAGCAAGCTCTGTTGTCTCAATCTCGGGTCACTTATGGAGATTTTCAGGGTGCAGTGTCTTTCTGTCGCGTTAGCGACACATACAAACCCTTTGCGCATGATCGAGCCAAAAACGTTATCGATGACGAACGCGGCAGTGAAAGCTCCGGAGCTGTACGACACGCAAGGGATGATAAGATTTACTGTGATGAGCAGCAAAACGAGTAGCACAGTGTCCAGAATGCCTTGTAGTGGTCTTTCCCAGTTGCAGACGTACCCGACCCTACTGCGCAAGTGCTCAAAAAACTTTTTATGCCATATATGGTCATCTTGCTTGCCATGCCGGTATTTCCAGTCCAAATAGGCAGCCGCGGTATAATTCCCGCCAGAGACACAGCTGATGTAATCCACCTTCACACCGCGATGAAGTAGCCGTCGCAAGACCCCAGAACTTAATGCGGCCGAGCGAATCCCTCCGCCAGAGAATCCCAGACCAATGTTGCGGTTTTCTTCTGTCATGTTTACACGGCCCTCTTGGATCTTAGTTGGGAATAAAGCACAACAAAGATCATGAGACTAACATCTACATCTACATCATAGGTCGGTCAAAATTGCTAAAACATCACACCAACCGTAATTGTGTAGGTGAATTTCGGAAAGCCCTTTAAAAGCGATGTTACACGAGACGATTCGCAACAACGATTTTTAGCGCAACACAGCGCTGCAATGTTGGAATAATGTTGTAACCATTCAAAACAATGTCGCAACAATATTGCAACGCTGTGTTGCGCTAAAAATCGTCGTTGCGAATCGTCTCGTGTAACATCACCTTTAGTTCCAGTGTCAACAAAGGAATTAATGCGGATCTATCACGGGCGTAGGAACTGAATTGAACAACATAGAAATCATTATACTCATATTTACTGCGCTTTTCACAAACATGCGAATTCTAAAGTTCAAAAGCCAACTGACGATTTCGTTTTTCGCTGCCGTCAATCATCTTAACGGACCTCTTAGGAAACAAAACTTTACTTTAACAGGTTCAAAAGGTCAAGGTTTGTGATTTGTGATTGGTGGATTTCGATCCGTTTTGTGTGTTTCGGTGTTGCAAGGTTCGTTGCTTGCGATCGTAATTATGATTGACGGCAGCGAAAAACACAATTGTGAAGGCGGCTTTTGAACTTTAGAGTTCGCATGTTTGTAAAAAGCGCAGTAACTAGAAATTCGTTTATCGCAACACCTCGCGAAGCTGTGATGAGGGGAAGTAATATGAATAAATTGAAACCAGCCAATAGGTTAAATATGTCAAAAAAAACAACAACACTTGCTGTAAGTGTTGCCTGGAAACCTCAAAATGCACCTAGACTTGACGTTAGACTGAATGACGTCAATTGGAGCCTAGGGTGTGTTCCTTTCGGTGAATCCCAAAACGGATTTTAGATCTTAAAACGGATTTCGCGTTCCTTTCGGCAAATCCAAATCCGGATTTTTGATCTGGAGAATCCTTTTTGAAAAGGATTCATGGAATTTGAAATCCGAAGAATCCGAATCCAGATTAACGGATTAGTGATCTACGCTGTTCCATTCACAGTGGATTCGAAATAAGTCAGATGATCCATCGGTATTTCCAGTATAAGTATTCCCGTAGAGTTTCCTAGTTGTCGCCATTTGCCGTAAAACGTCTGAAAACACTGGAAGATTGTTCATAGTGGTACAGTAAATATCCATGCACTAGCCATTTGTCGCTTAAGATTGCTGAAACACAGCCACGTAAGAGGAACTAATGAACTGCTACCTTTCTATAAACTCGCTTGTAGACTCGATAGGCACTCGATCGTGTTACATAAAAAATCCGAGCTACGAAACTGGAACCGAGCCGACAACCTTTAGATAATTTTCAACTTTAACGCGATTCTTTCTTGAACTGTTTATGTTCCATCGTCGCTATTAGCACTGCCGACCACAAAATTCTGCACAATCGCATAATTTGTCAAACAGTAGAAAACACGTCTTTTCTTTAGAGGCTATCATGCATATTGCACGCGTTTGCGAAAAGTTACCAAGGTTACAAATCCATTGTCGGATTTCACGTTCCTTTCGACCGCGAAATAATCTCAGACCAAAAATCCTTTTTTGGAATCGCCGAAAGAACACAACCTAGTCGCGACATCGTTGCTAGGCAACTCCGGATACCAATCCGATAGAAAGATTTACGACCAAAGCAAAATCGAACTCCGCTTGTAATCGACAAAATTATAAACTCGCTTCGCGAGAATTAAGTGATTCTATTCACAGATGAAGAGCTAGGAGAGAAGGCTATATTCGCAGGCAAAGATACAATGAAAACAGTAATGCTTGACACAACGCTCAACCTAAAATGTATGCAGTCACAACTGCACGAAGTCTATCAGTCAATCGGTTATTCAACCCGTGTTCAATGACTAAAGGCCGTTGATATGCAAAAGAAAATAATGAAAAAAGCATAGTTTAGTTTGAAGCTTATTGAAGCTTTCAGATGACAAGCGACATAACATGCTTGGAAACGTATAAAAATTATTACAAATGCTATGCACTGGAACGAAACCTGAATAAACCACTGATAAACTTAATTTACAAGGATTTCTACACTCGTATCTTACCGGTAACTCGTCCCGCGCTAAGCTAAGATCAGGCGCTACTCTCATTTTCCAGGGCACGGTTGCGCCGGCAAGGCGAATCAAAAAGTCTGAATTACGTTAGCCAGTTCCCGGCTCTCAGATAGTGAGGAAACACGCGAAAGTGAAACGGGGCTTTTTCCCGTTCCCTTTTTATACCAAAAAGTATAAAACGGGAACGGAAAAGCCCCGCGGAAAATAAAACAAAAGGTGACCACGTGACTTCCCTTCTAGAAACAACAGGGAAACTCGACACGGAAGTCGTCCGCATGCAAATATGGCTAGTGAGGCCTCAATGGTTTTGTTTTGACTCCGCGTCTTAGCGATTGAGTACAGCGATAACTACCTAAACTTTTCTGATGTCCTTTCACAAAGAAGGGAAGCATTTTGCGATTAGGGAGCAAACGAAATTAAGTGCGCTCGCTTCAATATATTAAAGAGTCGCGAGAGTATTTGAATAAGAGAATTCGCAAACCCTTTATTCATCAAAGGGAAAGCATTCTAAAAAACGAGTGTATCCATCGTCGACATTACTATCTTTTACACTGTATTACTGGAAACAATATAATGGTGACGAGTGAGAATCGAACACAACAAATATACAGTAGTAATGTATGGATCTCCATCCCCGCCAAAATTCAAACGTGTTGTTCTTAGATCCAAACCTTCAATTCAAACATTCTTGCTCTCAATTTAAATTTGCAATTATTGAATTAAAACAATCATTTTGGCAATTCAACCAATTTAACCGTCTTGAATTGAAGGTTTAGATCTGAGAACAACAAGTTTGAATTTTGGCGGGGATGGAGATCCACACGTATGTACTAACATGCTAATTTTTGATCAAACAATCCCTTCTACTGGCGCCGATATAGCAACTGAAAGCGTGATCGTTCTCTGATAACGAGACCCTAGTTTTCTTATTTCGCGGGCTCTTTCTAAATAAAAACATGTTGCTAAATTGGGCGCGTCCATTTTCTCTTGAACCTATAGATCATGCAGAACCTACAGATCGTACCGAATTTCGGAGAGGGAAACCAAGGGAACATGCTTACTATTTAGGTTGCACCATTGGCTTAGTGTCGTTGTAGTTGGTGTCACATCGCGCATGATCCTACAACTCCCTCCTGATTTCAATAAGTGGTTTTCACGTTACGTCATCTCCGCCATGCTGGTGGACGGTAAACAAAAGATCGCTCATTAGCTCGCTTTGTTTGTCCACCAGCATTTGTTCATTTCACCATTGTTATTTGTGTCTCCCGAGATTGCATGAAAACCACCTATACAAACCAGGTTCTAGCAGTACTTGGGCACAGGGAGCATGCGCTAGCTTGAGTTTAACTTTTAGCGCGCCGTAGTGCCATACCGTCACCATAAAAACAGAACTATGGCCCTTTTTCGTAGTTTAAAATTACGGTAATAAAGAAGACAAAACATAAATGGCGATTCTGAAACAAAATTTGGAAGTTTTTCAACACGGGCTATTATATTATTATTATCATCATCATTATCATCATCATCATCATTATTATACAAATATTCTGCCACTGGCGTTCAAAATTCCTTGTCTTATGCTTATCTATTCCTGTAAGGCCTAATAGTGAGCATCATCTCATTTTTCAAATATTTGTTTATGATATCACCGTCGTATCAAACATGAAGGTGAAAAAGAATAAAGGAAATGATTATAGGTCTTGATCTTAATCGATATTCTCCTCATCAGTACCAAAGGAAACCCATGTTGAACCGTGTGGAGAATATTCATGCTGATGCTTGGAGTAAATAAGTTAAACAAAGCCTGTAAGATTTATTGCCTCACTGCCGGTCAAGAACTCCTCAGCGCTGGACTCCACGCAAGCACGATATCCTTCACGGTGATATGCTGTAAAAAGCGACGATGTAAAAAACTGGTTGACTGTCAAGGTATGTGGGAAGCCCACACACAGCTTATCTGAAATCCAGCGAAGAATTGTCGAGCTTGAATGACAAGATTCGCAACAACAGAAAGTTAGGCGGTCAACATCCTGCGCCTCTAGAACTGGTCCTGGACCCCACAATGTTGTATCCAGTTCCTCTCCTGTGTCGTGGTTGTACTGGACCCAAGTTGTGTCCATGTCTGCTGGAGGCGTGACCCCGTTGTCAGGGTGACGAGGAGCAATGATCATTATCTCACCGGTACCAACCTCGAAGTAACCACCATCAAGTTTCTTGTCGAAGTACCGAACTAAAAATCGATAATGCCTCGGCTGTCGTCCTCGAGGGACTTTTACATATTCTTTATTCATCTGTCCTATGACATCCCGGCCGCCCAAACCAACGAACTCACAATGTAACTGTTCCCTTGCCTGATCCATGGATTTTAAGAGGTATTTGGAGTAGTCTGCGTCACTGGAAATAAAGCTTCCGTCAACGATGAGTATCTTTTTCAGCCTTTTCTTCAGCAGGGAGAGCAGACCATATTTCTCTAGGCGCCCGGCATCACTTAGAGATAAAAGCGCAGGTGGATTGGGTCCGACGTTGTTAACTTGGAAGACCTCGCGTAAAATTCGCACATGATACAAGTGAACGTGACACCACCTATTACCAACAAAACAAAAGAATTAATGACTTAACACGTAAATTGTTTAATGCAAGTTCTCGGTTAAGAGACTAGCCTCGCTAAAGGCGAAGTATAAATTGAGGCAAAGAGGAATGGAGAGAGATGTTTGTCTTATAGAGAGTCAAATGAAGGGAGTAAAGAAAGGCAGGGACCAACTCTAAGTATCCGTCTAATAGAGGTTTTCGTTAAGAGAGGGTCGACTGTACACAGCCAGTGCATTGGCATGGAACGTTGGCGAGTAGACGTTTAGAGAGTCAAACTTATTACCAAAAGTAAGGACGAAGAGAAGTTTCTCTGAAGGCTGTGTTTTGTTATCGACAGTTTTTTCAACCTCGTCCTCCGAGTCGCTCTCCGCCGTCCTCTTTAGCCTGCGAGCACATGAACTCTCCAATCGTCTGGTTAAAGAACGCTCTCGCGTCCTTTTCTGCGTGTCGCTCACGCGTGACTTCTCCAGAGTCCTTGTAATAGAAAGCTTCCTCGCAGGCTAATTACTCTTTCGCTCCAGGGGAAAGAACGAAAACAGAACCTGGGGATAAAGTCAAGATTCAAGCACAAGCGCCAGATACAGAAAAAAGTCTATTTTTGTTTGTTTGTCTTAATTCTTTCCCGGGTATAGCAAATGACCTACGACCTTATAAACTGACACTGTCTTTTCTTTAAAAAAGGACTGGATAGACGATTTCAATTTCATACCTCACAAACTTGTCAAAGAACCATGGTGGTTCACCACCTGTTGGCATAAGAGCTATGGCGATGAATATTATGAAGTACGTGACAAACACGGCCACAGCGTAGCCTTCCTCGTCTCTCATTTTCCACTCGTCACTCAGGGAAATTATGGCCAGGAACATCACGGGAAAAGCTGCGATGCTTTGAATCAAAACTGCAAGAACCTGCGATAGCAACATAACGTGCAAGGCATGAATGCAACTATCGGGGTGAATAGAGGAGTTGTGCGTGGGTAGTAATGTTCAGCGAGAAAATTGCTCAGTTTCACATTATTTTGTTGAGGCAAACTCGTTTTTGTCGTCTGTAAGGGGATTGAAGCCTCCTTGTCAAAATTTCGCTACATCCAATGGAATATTTATTTGTTGCGAGGACTTTTGGATTCTACATAAACCATACTTAATTCTCTCTTTGTGTGTCTGAATAACAGTTCGGAATAAAAGTTTCCAGTACACTCGAATGGAAACGAGCCAGTGGGAGAAGCTAACGAAGGCTTCTGGGAAGAAGAAACACGAAATAAAAAGGAAAGAAAAGAAAGAAACTGGGTGCTCGATTACCAGCCGCTGTTCGAGCCTACTGATAAGGCTAAATATTTTGTTCTTTAGAGTTCTTCATACCTTGGCTAGCCACGGGGAACAGCCCATGGTTTCGTTAGGATTACTTCTGAATCCTTTCCTGATAGTAAGCCCCAGCATGATCTGCAAATCTCTGAACGGCTCCGCCTGTTCCGGACTGAGGGCCATCACAGCAGCTGACGTTACCATGGCATCAGTTTGATGCACGCAGCCAGGCGACAGCTTTATCTCGTCGCAAACTTCTCCAGGCTGATGGTCGATACGTTCGTTTCCTTCTGGCGATAGAGACATCACGGCGTATGAGGGTGCTTTCAAAGACGATTCTTTGCGCCAGTAATCGACTGCTACGTTGCTGATGTACTCTGGGGTGAGCGGCTCAAGGTCGGCCATCAGCAAGGGGTCCGTGGATGCATCATGCCGATGAGTACAGCAAGATAGAACTGGAAAGAAGTCGCGGATACTTATTCCCCCGCAACCCATCGAACCAACACTGTGCTGGGTAAAGAACGCTTTCTGAAGTCTCCATCTGAAAAAGAAGACAAACCTGTCATTTGCTGTTTAATGCTAAAGGAGATATTTTTTGCGGCTTTCTTCGGCTTCGCTTTTCCTCTCTTTCCGATCCTCTTCCCATCCTCCGTCGCGTGCTTTCTTTTTCCCTCTCCCCAGCCTCCCTATGACACAAAGAGGAGTGGAAAACTGAGATGACCGAAAGATCTGGTTCGAGTCTCAATACTCGGAGTGTGACAGATAGGTGATTCTCGCTTCAAACTCATGGATTATGGTTCACCATTTTACTCCTCGATTTTTACAGAAAAAAAGAAAAACAAAACTAATTTCTCTCTTTCAGGATACGATTACTCTGTCTCATTTCCTTTGTTTTCTGCGGATTGAGGACTAAGCTTTGAAATGAGAAACTTGTAGAGCGATTAACTATCTAGCAACACGAGCAGGGAATCAGTCATACTTAATTTTCTCATGGTCCGTTCTGAAGGGAAATGCCATGAGAAGGAAATTCAGTGATCCAACTTACTTGTAGTAGGTATAAATGGATGTAACGCTGAACATCCCAAGATAAGGACTCATCCAGATGAATAAACTTGAAACCAAAAGCAAAGTGTAAAAAAGATGTGGATTATATTGGATACCAATGGTGATTGTCTGGTAAACTCTCCACTTGATAACAAACGCGTAAAAGTAAAACACGAGAGCCAGCGATGCTTTCTTCCGTAATGGCGGAAAACCCAGCCAGAAGAAGATGCTAAGAACAACGACCGAGGCTTTGAGCCAGTACGGGAGAACATCAGTAAACTGTTGTATCAACCATGGTACAAACGTGAAAGCAAACGTCACACCGGTTACGATCTGGAGGAAACGAGCGATTGAGCGTAATCTCAACGGAGCGCTCAGCTTGACTGCGAGACAGACGAAGAAAGTTACGGGCAATAAAATGAATAGCAAGCTCTGTTGTCTCAATCTCGGGTCGCTTATGGAGATTTCCAGAGTGCAGTGTCTTTCTGTCGCGTTAGCAGCACCTCTGTATAAGTCTACACATACAAACCCTTTGCGCATGATCGAGCCAAACACGTAATCGATGACGAACGCGGCAGTGAAAGCTCCGGAGCTGTATGACACGCAAGGGATGATAAGATTTACTGTGATGAGCAGCAAAACGAGTAGCACAGTGTCCAGAATGCCTTGTAGTGGTCTTTCCCAGTTGCAGACGTACCCGACCCTACTGCGCAAGTGCTCAAAAAACTCTTTATGCCATTTATGGTCATCTTGCTTGCCATGCCGGTATTTCCAGTCCAAATAGGCAGCCGCGGTATAATTCCCGCCAGAGACACAGCTGATGTAATCCACCTTCACACCGCGATGAAGTAGCCGTCGCAAGACCCCAGAACTTAATGCGGCCGAGCGAATCCCTCCGCCAGAGAAGCCCAGACCAATGTTGCGGTTTTCTTCTGTCATGTTTATACGGGCCTCTTGGATCTTAGTTGGGAATAAAGCACAACAAAGATCATAAGATGAAATACAGAAGTGAACAGACTACATCCCGCACAAAGCCCCAGCGAGTCAACTCAAAATAAGGAATACCGTCGAATCTCACCTCTAAAAGACGGAGACCTGATATAAAAGGGTAGGGATTTTACTCGTTGAAGTATACGAAAGGGTAGGAGAATCTGTCATTTGGGTCTGTGAAAGGGCCCAAAGGACCGAACAGATGAATTTTATTGCTTTATAAAGTCGAGAAAACGTTCTATTCTTGTGATTGATTCCTATTTAAATGACAGTGCATTTACACCAGTTGAAAGGGATGCAATGTCCTAAACAAGGTATGTGAAAGGGGTACCATTTGTCAATAGAAGGTATACGAAAGGGGTACCTTTTTCGTGAAAAATGGTATATAAAAGGGTAAGGGGTTGGACCTCGAGGTGGAGCCTCCCCGTATAAAAATTTTTGAGTACCCCCCTCCCCATCCGAGTGTAAAACGGACACCCAGAATTGGTGCCTGCCTTTCTTACTCCCTATATTTGACCCTCTATAAGACGGACACCTCTGTAAGACGGACACTTACTGCCGGTCCCAAAGGTCTCCGTTTTAGAGACAGTTGACGTAACGACGATTTCGGTAATCACCAATCATTGAGAAAATGTCTGGGAGACGTTGTGTCTGATTTCTCGAAGGTAAAGTGTTTTAATTATGTGCAGTTGTCTCCATCTATGCCCTTTTTTGACTTTCCCTGACTTTCTCTAATTTATGATCTCAGTTCTACACACGTCTGCACATCCTCGTCCTCCAAAGCCAGGGAAAAGCGCCCTGGGGACGAGGTTGACATCTGCGCACCGGAAGCCTAATTACCTGAAATTGCGTGACATGACCTAAATTGCGTGACATACTAACTTACGTGCAGACAAACGGTATTTCCAGTCCAAATAGGCAGCCGCGGTATAATTCCCGCCAGAGACACAGCTGATGTAATCCACCTTCACACCGCGATGAAGTAGCCGTCGCAAGACCCCAGAACTTAATGCGGCCGAGCGAATCCCGCCGCCAGAGAAGGCCAGACCAATGTTGCTGTTTTCTTCTGGCATGTTTATACGGCCCTCTTGGATCTTAGTTGGGGATAAAGCACAACAAAGATCATGAGACTAACAAGAGCTGTTGGCTTGGAAGTGCGGGCGAACATGTGGGTTTACCTTGGAGGTGTGATTTATGTGAACCACCTTCTTACTCTACATCTTTACATCTACATCTACATCATAGATCGGTCAAAATCGCTAAAACATCACACCAACCGAAATTGTGTAGGTGAACTTCGGAAAGCCCTTTTAAGGCGATGTTACACGAGACGATTCGCAAAGACGATTTTTAGCGCAACACAGCGCTGCAATGTTGGAACAATGTTGTAACCATTTGCGAATCGTCTCCTGTATCATCTCCTTTAGTTCCAGTGTCAACGAAGGAATTCATGCGGATCTATCACGAGCGTAGAAACTTAATTGAACAACATAGAAATCATTATACTCATATTTAACTAGAAATTCGTTTATCGCAACACCTCGCGAAGCTGTGATGAGGGGAAGTAATACCAGCCAATAGGTTAAATGTGTCAAAAAAAGAAAACAATACGAAAACGACCAAAAAATAAAGTAAAATAAAAAGTTTCCTCAGGCGGGAGTCCAAACCCGGACAATTAACGTGTAAGGCCATCACCTTAACCATTGCGCTACGAGACCAAGTGTTGCACGTATATTTTGAATGAATTATCTTTAACGTTTTTGCCCATGAAATTCTGTCGATAGACGCTGTTTGAAGCTCGTAGAGCTGTATTTATCAAGAATTCAAAAATGTAGTGGAGGAAAATAAGCATGGTTTTGATGGCAAAAACAGTACTTTAACTCATTTCGTCGCATTTGAAGATGATATGGCCGACAAAGCGATATTAAGTGTCTCGCAAAACTGTGGCGAATTCTCTTGCTGACGGCGTTGTACCGCTTGCAACTTTCTACATTTTACATGAGGAGAATCGGTTACGATTCAGTATCAATAAACATTTTTTTTCAACAGAGAATGAATAACCATATCCGCCTTTCTTCTCCACGGTTTCTTGTTGTCGTTTTCTTCTTCCTTACAGCAAGGAACCCCCAAGTGTGACCTTTAATAACTCAAATTCTTTCATGGAGACATTAACCAATCAGAAGTCGAGGACAGCTTCCAGCTAGCTTCTGATTGGATTAAGTCTGCACGAAAGAATGTGAATAAATCAAAAGGGCTCCTTGCTGTAAGTGTTGCCTGGAAACCTCAAAATGCACCTAGACTGAATGACGTCAATTGGAGCGAATTTTAGATCTTAAAACGGATTTCGCGTTCCTTTCGGCAAATCCAAATCCGGATTTTTGATCTGGAGAAGGATTCATTAAATTTGAAATCCGAAGAATCCGAATCCAGATTAACGGATTAGTGATCTACGCTGTTCCATTCACAGTGGATTCGAAATTAGTCAGATGATCCAGCGGTATTTCCAGTATAAGTATTCCCAGTATAGTTTCCTAGTTGTTGCCATTTGCCGTAAAACGTCTGAAAACACTGGAGGATTGTTCTTGGTACAGTAAAATATCCATGTGCTAGCCATTTGTCGCTAAAGAGTGCTGAAACACAAACACGTAAGAAGGACAAATCAACTGCTACCTTTCTATAAACTCGCTTGTAGACTCGATAGGCACTCGATCGTGCTACATAAAAAATCCGAGCTACGAAACTGGATCAAACTGAGCCGACAACCTTTAGATAATTTTCAACTTTAACGCAATACTTTCTTGAACTGTTTATGTGCCATCGTCGCTATTGGAACTGCCGACCACAAAATTCTGCACGGAATAATCGCATAATTTGTCAAACAGTAGAAAACACGTCTTTTCTTTAGAGGCTATCATGCATATTGCATGCGTTTGCGAAAAGTTACCAAGGTTACAAATCCATTGTCGGATTTCACGTTCCTTTCGACCGCGAAATAATCTCAGACCAAAAATCTAGTCGCGACATCGTTGCTAGGCAACTTCGGATACCAAACCGATAGAAAGATTTACGACCAAAGCAAAATCGAACTCGGCTTGCAATCGACAAAATTATAAACTCGCTTCGCGAGAATTAAGTGATTCTATTCACACATGAAGAGCTAGGAGAGAAGGCTATATTCGCAGGCAAAGATACAATGAAAACAGTAATGCTTGACACAACGCTCAACCTAAAATGTACATAGTCACAACTTCACGAAGTCTATCAGTCAATCGGTTATTCAATCCGTGTTCAATGACTAAAGGCCGTTGATATGCAAAAGAAAATAATGAAAAAAGAATAGTTTACCACTAGAGTTTGAAGCTTATTGAAGCTTTCAGATGACAAGCGACATAACATGCTTGGAAACGTATAAAAATTATTACAAATGCTATGCACTGGAACCAAACCTGAATAAACCACTGATGAACTTAATTTACATGAATTTCTACACTCGTATCTTACCGATAACTCGTCCCGCGCTAAGCTAAGATCAGGCGCTACTCTCATTTTCCAGGGCACGGTTGCGCCGGCAAGGCGAATCAAAAAGTCTGAATTACGTTAGCCTGTTCCCTGCTCTCGGATAGTGGGAAACACGCGAAAGTGAAACCGGGCTTTTTCCCGTTCCCTTTTTATACCAAACAGTATAAAACGGGAACGGAAAAGCCACGAGGAAAATAAAACAAAAGGTGACCACGTGACTTTCCTTCTAGAAACAACAGGGAAACTGGACACGGAAGTCGTCCGCATGCAAATATGGCTAGTGAGGCCTCAATGGTTTTGTTTTGACTCCGCGTCTTAGCGGTTGAGTACAGCGATAACTACCTAAACTTTTCTGATATCGATGTCCTTTCACAAAGAAGGGAAGCATTTTGCGATTAGGGAGCAAACGAAATTAAGTGCGCTCGCTTCAATATATTAAAGAGTCGCGAAAGTATTTGAATAAGAGAATTCGCAAATCCTTTATTCATCAAAAGGAAAGCATTCTAAAAAACGAGTGTATCCATCGTCGACATTACTATCTTTTACACTGTATTACTGGAAACAATATAATGGTGACGAGTGCGAATCGAACACAACAAATATACAGTAGTAATGTATGGATCTCCATCCCCGCCAAAATTCAAACGTGTTGTTCTTAGATCCAAACCTTCAATTCAAACATTCTTGCTCTCAATTTAAATTTGCAATTATTGAATTAAAACAATCATTTTGGCAATTCAACCAATTTAACCGTCTTGAATTGAAGGTTTAGATCTGAGAACAACAAGTTTGAATTTTGGCGGGGATGGAGATCCACACGTATGTACTAACATGCTAATTTTTGATCAAACAATCCCTTCTACTGGCGCCGATATAGCAACTGAAAGCGTGATCGTTCTCTGATAACGAGACCCTAGTTTTCTTATTTCGCGGGCTCTTTCTAAATAAAAACATGTTGCTAAATTGGGCGCGTCCATTTTCTCTTGAACCTATAGATCATGCAGAACCTACAGATCGTACCGAATTTCGGAGAGGGAAACCAAGGGAACATGCTTACTATTTAGGTTGCACCATTGGCTTAGTGTCGTTGTAGTTGGTGTCACATCGCGCATGATCCTACAACTCCCTCCTGATTTCAATAAGTGGTTTTCACGTTACGTCATCGCCGCCATGCTGGTGGACGGTAAACAAAAGATGGCTCATTAGCTCGCTTTGTTTGTCCACCAGCATTTGTTCATTTCACCATTGTTATTTGTGTCTCCCGAGATTGCATGAAAACCACCTATACAAACCAGGTTCTAGCAGTACTTGGGCACAGGGAGCATGCGCTAGCTTGAGTTTAACTTTTAGCGCGCCGTAGTGCCATACCGTCACCATAAAAACAGAACTATGGCCCTTTTTCGTAGTTTAAAATTACGGTAATAAAGAAGACAAAACATAAATGGCGATTCTGAAACAAAATTTGGAAGTTTTTCAACACGGGCTATTATATTATTATTATCATCATCATTATCATCATCATCATCATTATTATACAAATATTCTGCCACTGGCGTTCAAAATTCCTTGTCTTATGCTTATCTATTCCTGTAAGGCCTAATAGTGAGCATCATCTCATTTTTCAAATATTTGTTTATGATATCACCGTCGTATCAAACATGAAGGTGAAAAAGAATAAAGGAAATGATTATAGGTCTTGATCTTAATCGATATTCTCCTCATCAGTACCAAAGGAAACCCATGTTGAACCGTGTGGAGAATATTCATGCTGATGCTTGGAGTAAATAAGTTAAACAAAGCCTGTAAGATTTATTGCCTCACTGCCGGTCAAGAACTCCTCAGCGCTGGACTCCACGCAAGCACGATATCCTTCACGGTGATATGCTGTAAAAAGCGACGATGTAAAAAACTGGTTGACTGTCAAGGTATGTGGGAAGCCCACACACAGCTTATCTGAAATCCAGCGAAGAATTGTCGAGCTTGAATGACAAGATTCGCAACAACAGAAAGTTAGGCGGTCAACATCCTGCGCCTCTAGAACTGGTCCTGGACCCCACAATGTTGTATCCAGTTCCTCTCCTGTGTCGTGGTTGTACTGGACCCAAGTTGTGTCCATGTCTGCTGGAGGCGTGACCCCGTTGTCAGGGTGACGAGGAGCAATGATCATTATCTCACCGGTACCAACCTCGAAGTAACCACCATCAAGTTTCTTGTCGAAGTACCGAACTAAAAATCGATAATGCCTCGGCTGTCGTCCTCGAGGGACTTTTACATATTCTTTATTCATCTGTCCTATGACATCCCGGCCGCCCAAACCAACGAACTCACAATGTAACTGTTCCCTTGCCTGATCCATGGATTTTAAGAGGTATTTGGAGTAGTCTGCGTCACTGGAAATAAAGCTTCCGTCAACGATGAGTATCTTTTTCAGCCTTTTCTTCAGCAGGGAGAGCAGACCATATTTCTCTAGGCGCCCGGCATCACTTAGAGATAAAAGCGCAGGTGGATTGGGTCCGACGTTGTTAACTTGGAAGACCTCGCGTAAAAATCGCACGTGATACAAGTGAACGTGACACCACCTATTACCAACAAAACAAAAGAATTAATGACTTAACACGTAAATGGTTTAATACAAGTTCTCTTTTAAGAGACTAGCCTCGCTAAAGGCGAAGTATAAATTGAGGCAAAGAGGAATGGAAACCCGAACATGCAAACAAACAATTAGTAAAAGGATTTTTTTGCTTTTCCCCAAAGTGGACTGAGGAAGAGGCGACGTTACGACGCAAAAAACATGGGTGACGGAAAGTCATAGTTAGGGCTGGTTTACACCTACGAAGGGAACGTACTCAAAGCGCAACGAGCTTGACAGTGGTAGAAAACATAAATATACAGCCAACTCTCTCGCTAAAAAGGAAATCTTTGGGACCGGCACTAACTGGAAGTGTCCGTCTTAGAGAGAGTTTGTCTTATAGAGAGTCAAATGAAGAGAGTAAAGAAAGGCAGGGACCAACTCTAAGTATCCGTCTAATAGAGGTTTTCGTTAAGAGAGGGTCGACTGTACACAGCGAGTGCATTGGCGTGGAACGTTGGCGAGTAGACGTTTAGAGAGTCAAACTTATTACCAAAAGTAAGGACGAAGAGAAGTTTCTCTGAAGGCTGTGTTTTGTTATGGACAGTTTTTTCAACCTCGTCCTCCGAGTCGCTCTCCGCCGTCCTCTTTAGCCTGCGAGCACATGAACTCTCCAATCGTCTGGTTAAAGAACGCTCTCGAGTCCTTTTCTGCGTGTCGCTCACGCGTGACTTCTTCAGAGTCCCTGGAATGGAAAGCTTGCTCGCAGGCTAATTAATCTTTCGCTCCAGGGGAAAGAACGAAAAGAGAAGCTGGGAATAAAGTCAAGATTCAAGCACAAGCACCAGATACAGAAAAAAGTCTATTTTTGTTTGTTTGTCTTAATTCTTTTCCGGGTATAGCAAATGACCTACGACCTTATAAACTGACACTGTCTTTTCTTTAAAAAAGGACTAGATAGACGATTTCAATTTCATACCTCACAAACTTGTCAAAGAACCATGGTGGTTCACCACCAGTTGGCATAAGAGCTATGGCGATGAATATTATGGAGTACGTGACAAACACGGCCACAGCGTAGCCTTCCTCGTCTCTCATTTTCCACGCGTCACTCAGGGAAATTATGGCCAGGAACATCACGGGAAAAGCTGCGATACTTTGAATCAAAACTGCAAGAACCTGCGATAGCAACATAACGTGCAAGGCATGAATGCAACTATCGGGGTGAATAGAGGAGTTGTGCATGGGTAGTAATGTTCAGCGAGAAAATTGCTCAGTTTCACATTATTTTGTTGAGGCAAACTCGTTTTTGTCGTCTGTAAGGGGATTGAAGCCTCCTTGTCAAAATTTCGCTACATCCAATGGAATATTTATTTGTTGCGAGGACTTTTGGATTCTACATAAACCATACTTAATTCTCTCTTTGTGTGTCTGAATAACAGTTCGGAATAAAAGTTTCCAGTACACTCGAATGGAAACGAGCCAGTGGGAGAAGATAACGAAGGCTTCTGGGAAGAAGAAACACGAAATAAAAAGGAAAGAAAAGAAAGAAACTGGGTGCTCGATTACCAGCCGCTGTTCGAGCCTACTGATAAGGCTAAATATTTTGTTCTTTAGAGTTCTTCATACCTTGGCTAGCCACGGGGAACAGCCCATGGTTTCGTTAGGATTACTTCTGAATCCTTTCCTGATAGTAAGCCCCAGCATGATCTGCAAATCTCTGAACGGCTCCGCCTGTTCCGGACTGAGGGCCATCACAGCAGCTGACGTTACCATGGCATCAGTTTGATGCACGCAGCCAGGCGACAGCTTTATCTCGTCGCAAACTTCTCCAGGCTGATGGTCGATACGTTCGTTTCCTTCTGGCGATAGAGACATCACGGCGTATGAGGGTGCTTTCAAAGACGATTCTTTGCGCCAGTAATCGACTGCTACGTTGCTGATGTACTCTGGGGTGAGCGGCTCAAGGTCGGCCATCAGCAAGGGGTCCGTGGATGCATCATGCCGATGAGTACAGCAAGATAGAACTGGAAAGAAGTCGCGGATACTTATTCCCCCGCAACCCATCGAACCAACACTGTGCTGGGTAAAGAACGCTTTCTGAAGTCTCCATCTGAAAAAGAAGACAAACCTGTCATTTGCTGTTTAATGCTAAAGGAGATATTTTTTGCGGCTTTCTTCGGCTTCGCTTTTCCTCTCTTTCCGATCCTCTTCCCATCCTCCGTCGCGTGCTTTCTTTTTCCCTCTCCCCAGCCTCCCTATGACACAAAGAGGAGTGGAAAACTGAGATGACCGAAAGATCTGGTTCGAGTCTCAATACTCGGAGTGTGACAGATAGGTGATTCTCGCTTCAAACTCATGGATTATGGTTCACCATTTTACTCCTCGATTTTTACAGAAAAAAAGAAAAACAAAACTAATTTCTCTCTTTCAGGATACGATTACTCTGTCTCATTTCCTTTGTTTTCTGCGGATTGAGGACTAAGCTTTGAAATGAGAAACTTGTAGAGCGATTAACTATCTAGCAACACGAGCAGGGAATCAGTCATACTTAATTTTCTCATGGTCCGTTCTGAAGGGAAATGCCATGAGAAGGAAATTCAGTGATCCAACTTACTTGTAGTAGGTATAAATGGATGTAACGCTGAACATCCCAAGATAAGGACTCATCCAGATGAATAAACTTGAAACCAAAAGCAAAGTGTAAAAAAGATGTGGATTATATTGGATACCAATGGTGATTGTCTGGTAAACTCTCCACTTGATAACAAACGCGTAAAAGTAAAACACGAGAGCCAGCGATGCTTTCTTCCGTAATGGCGGAAAACCCAGCCAGAAGAAGATGCTAAGAACAACGACCGAGGCTTTGAGCCAGTACGGGAGAACATCAGTAAACTGTTGTATCAACCATGGTACAAACGTGAAAGCAAACGTCACACCGGTTACGATCTGGAGGAAACGAGCGATTGAGCGTAATCTCAACGGAGCGCTCAGCTTGACTGCGAGACAGACGAAGAAAGTTACGGGCAATAAAATGAATAGCAAGCTCTGTTGTCTCAATCTCGGGTCGCTTATGGAGATTTCCAGAGTGCAGTGTCTTTCTGTCGCGTTAGCAGCACCTCTGTATAAGTCTACACATACAAACCCTTTGCGCATGATCGAGCCAAACACGTAATCGATGACGAACGCGGCAGTGAAAGCTCCGGAGCTGTATGACACGCAAGGGATGATAAGATTTACTGTGATGAGCAGCAAAACGAGTAGCACAGTGTCCAGAATGCCTTGTAGTGGTCTTTCCCAGTTGCAGACGTACCCGACCCTACTGCGCAAGTGCTCAAAAAACTCTTTATGCCATTTATGGTCATCTTGCTTGCCATGCCGGTATTTCCAGTCCAAATAGGCAGCCGCGGTATAATTCCCGCCAGAGACACAGCTGATGTAATCCACCTTCACACCGCGATGAAGTAGCCGTCGCAAGACCCCAGAACTTAATGCGGCCGAGCGAATCCCTCCGCCAGAGAAGCCCAGACCAATGTTGCGGTTTTCTTCTGTCATGTTTATACGGGCCTCTTGGATCTTAGTTGGGAATAAAGCACAACAAAGATCATAAGATGAAATACAGAAGTGAACAGACTACATCCCGCACAAAGCCCCAGCGAGTCAACTCAAAATAAGGAATACCGTCGAATCTCACCTCTAAAAGACGGAGACCTGATATAAAAGGGTAGGGATTTTACTCGTTGAAGTATACGAAAGGGTAGGAGAATCTGTCATTTGGGTCTGTGAAAGGGCCCAAAGGACCGAACAGATGAATTTTATTGCTTTATAAAGTCGAGAAAACGTTCTATTCTTGTGATTGATTCCTATTTAAATGACAGTGCATTTACACCAGTTGAAAGGGATGCAATGTCCTAAACAAGGTATGTGAAAGGGGTACCATTTGTCAATAGAAGGTATACGAAAGGGGTACCTTTTTCGTGAAAAATGGTATATAAAAGGGTAAGGGGTTGGACCTCGAGGTGGAGCCTCCCCGTATAAAAATTTTTGAGTACCCCCCTCCCCATCCGAGTGTAAAACGGACACCCAGAATTGGTGCCTGCCTTTCTTACTCCCTATATTTGACCCTCTATAAGACGGACACCTCTGTAAGACGGACACTTACTGCCGGTCCCAAAGGTCTCCGTTTTAGAGACAGTTGACGTAACGACGATTTCGGTAATCACCAATCATTGAGAAAATGTCTGGGAGACGTTGTGTCTGATTTCTCGAAGGTAAAGTGTTTTAATTATGTGCAGTTGTCTCCATCTATGCCCTTTTTTGACTTTCCCTGACTTTCTCTAATTTATGATCTCAGTTCTACACACGTCTGCACATCCTCGTCCTCCAAAGCCAGGGAAAAGCGCCCTGGGGACGAGGTTGACATCTGCGCACCGGAAGCCTAATTACCTGAAATTGCGTGACATGACCTAAATTGCGTGACATACTAACTTACGTGCAGACAATCTCGTAGCCAGATTCCAAATGGGCTCTCAGTTAGTTGGCCACAAAAAGGGTAACAGGACCGAATAGGCAGAGGGCTTTGGCTATAACTCGTTTTCCGGCAATAGGAGACGTCTTCAGCTACAACTACTGTCTCTACATCCACCCAGCACCTCATATTTAAAGTGAAAAAAAATGGCTTTTCACTCATGATGGTTCGTTATTGAAGTCTTCATGTACAGGCATAAACGAGAAAGGAGAAGAGAGGCGAAAAGCGGGTGAACCTCTTGTTTTCTTTTGCCCGGGAATTTTCCCTTCCCGTTTTATACTCCTTGAACTTCCCTTCTTAGAAACAACAGGGAAACTCGACACGGAAGTCGTCATTCACCCGCCCAAGGTTAAAAGGACAAAGACAGTGCCGTGAATTCCTGCCCGGGCGCACTTGTTAAAAGTCACCCTCAGTTATTACCTTATCTGAAAACGTCGTTTAATAATACCACCAACATCACTGGGTGGTCTTAATAAAAGAGCTTTTTATACTGTAAAAAAAAAAAGAAGTGAAAACGCGAGACAATTCTTACGAACTTCCGCTTCCGGTCATACACAGAGAAAGCAACAAAAGCATACCAGAAGTTTTTTAACAAACTTCAACTAATAGAGCGACTTAAGTACTTGTGGTTTAAAGGTTTAACCGTGAATTTGCAGCGGTCAGGATATTAATGGTCTTAAATTACAACTAACAAATCGTTTGCAGGTTATTAGGGTTGCGTGCCCATATTATGAAGAAGTAGTCACTCTGTCTTTTATCGTTCCATTTTTGCGACAATTCCACAACAGCCGACCAGAGATCGTAACTTTTTAAACAAACGGGGAATTAGTGGGAAGAAATAAAGAGATCGCGCAGGAAGTATTTGCGGCGAACGAGTTCGTTGCAGCAACATACATCGATACATATGTTAAAACTCAATTTTAAGTGCCCTTCGGTCTGTTTTTTCTTTTAGTTGACAATAATTTTAAAACGACACAAAAACAAACCTTTGAATGATCGATCCAGAGGTAAACCAAGCCATATACAAACACAACGTCATTCTCGAATTTGATTTACACGATCGAAGCTACCCTGATATCAATTTTCTAGGGTTATTATTAAGTAAACATCAGTCCTTTAAAAACAACATTTTCCTTGAATGAACGCTTTTGCCATGCGAAGTGAAACTAGATGTAAAAATAAAACACCTGATAAAAAGTAAGTAGGTTGAAATATACTGTACCTTTATCCTGTTTGGAAATTTTGTTCTTGAAGGCTGCTGATTTAGAAATTCGGATGATGGGGGTGAACTTTTGTCATGTGATCTTGAAGATCCTTGTAAAACTCGCTCAACCGTTTGAGGTCAGAGAAAGAATGATAAGAAATGCTACGCTCACTTGATTTTATACCAACAGAAGCGGAAAAAGTGTCTGCGTGCGCAAGGCCATTCCGTCCCTGTCCAGGTTCCGGTTACTACTGCCATAGTGTCGTCACGCATTCTAGGTTCCGGTCGATTTACTTCAATTACACCTGTCAAACTCAATTGTTCTGGCTTCCATTGTCTGTTTTTATATCTTCCATGAGCGGTCAATCCTCGACGCCCGGGGATTTTTACTCTTCATAAGGGCCGGGATCGCAAAACGCTGACTCATTACCTATTTCAAGATCCACACATTTGTCAGTAGTATTTTTTGTTCTCCTTCGATCACTGGTGAAAAGTTCTATTGTTTCTTAACCAAAGCCAGGAATCCTTCACCCCTGGCCCATAACCTGCCTAGCAAGCTCTGTTCAGCCTTTTTACAGAGCCCGATGGCCATTTATTTTTCAGCCCCGAAATAGCTTAAAAATCAATTTAACAAACATAAAGTGCATTCTGTTTTGTGGCTCAATAAGAACAGTAAAAGGCTAGCTCCTGAAAAGAACCCACATTTATCAACCCAGGCGACCACTGTCCACAAATTTTATCTACCATATCTAGCATGTGTACTTCCACCCCCTCCCCTCAAACAAAATCGGGCCTCTCTTCGGAGGGGAGAGGACGGCTTTGCACAGGCTAATTTTTTCTCGTGAAAGGTTCGGCGGGCACTCCTAACAATTCCTAGGGAATTCCCGGGACTGATAACTCACTTTTTCTTTCAAAATATCGCAAGAGTTCTGTTGAGACCTGTTAACGTCAGCAATGATAACGACATGGGATCAGCATTAAGAGGTCTACACCGCTTGACCTTTACAGAAGCGGAAGAGAAACCACAGGGAAAAACGCACGGGAAATATCTTTCACTTAGAGAATCGTCAAGGCTACCTTTTCTCCTGTCTGTGGTACACAATCATCCGGGCTCCGATTCTGACAAACAACAACCAGCGAATAATATTGAAACATGATACAGAAACACGAGACAAAAAGCAATCAAATTTAAACACGAATTAGACTGTAACAAAGTAAAAGCTAGGGCGTCATAATCAAAGTCATGGGGCCTTGCAAGAGGCGCTTTTTTGAAATATAAAGAAACGTTTGTTCGTGAAGTTAGAATGATGCTTCCATTGTCTGAACGATCGATATTGCAAAAAGTTTCCTAAATTTTATTTTCCGTTTTTGAGCTTGGCATTCAAGAATAAATATCTTCACTGTCTTATTTTTTTTTCAAGTCTTGATTAAATTTTGGCTATTTTACAAGGGGGAATGAAACTAAATTCCCCAAAAGTCAGCCATAAATCCGATCAATTAGCCTTTGGCTTGTCGCTGAAAAATTACTGACCTTTGAGAGCAATATCAGTTAATACTGGCACGTATCGCCCTCAATCGCCCTCAAGCACGTCAGTTTTTGACTAACGGCACTCACATGAGGAAAATCCGGTAAGTTTTCTAATATGTACAAGGAAAAATTGTTAATGAAATCTTGCTAAAACGTCGCCTGCTCGGCCGGGCGTTTAGATGATAGCGGATTGAAAGGGGATTACATTAAAAAGAGGAAAAAAAAAAGTAAACAGATCCTTACGGCCAGACGATGAAAAATAGGACCAACTGATGTAATAAAAACGTGCGGGCGCAATTTAATAGTGTGCGTGCCTTATTTATTTATTTATTTAATTTGTAACTGACCTGTGTTTAAAGCCCGGTGCAAACGGACGCAAAATTGTTGGCCAACTGGCTCCCAACATTGTTGTTGATGTTACATGTTGCGTCCGTTTGCACACCCTGTTTCATGTTAATGCATGTTCTTGCGCGAAGTTTAAAACAGGTTAAACGTTTAGCTACGTGCAAACGGATGCAACAACTTCCGACATTGTTGGGCTAACAATGATCAACATTGCTGGAAGCTGTAACATCCATTTGCACGTAGCTTTAGTTGGTTATTTAGCGTGTTTTATCTCTACTTTGCGTTGTTTTCTTTGTATGTCTTGCACTGTGCTCTCAGTGACTTGAGTGGCTCCACGGAAAATGTTCTGCCATTGATATACGATTTCATATTGAGCCGTAACCAATTGAAGCATTGCATTATAGGCATCCTACTGATAAACATTATTATTATTATTATTATTATTATTATTATTATTAAGACATTCACAGATTTCCTGGCCTGTTCCAGGCTCTGAGAAAGCGCGAACACCGCCCCCCCCCGCCCTTCTTTTCCTAGAGCCAGATCACGCACTCATGCATATTTTCGCGTGCCTTTCACTTTCACATCATCCCCACTATCAGATTTCGAGCAACAGTATTTATTTGCAGTCTGTCCACCTCCCCCTTTTAGTTAGTGCGTGCGCATTTTCACGAGAAAAGGCACGGCTACCAAGCTAAACAAAATGGCGAACTGTGGCAAGTTGCCCTTTTGAACTCGAGTGCGTTGGAGTTTCAAACTTTTAGCGTGAAATTTACACAGAAATAACATAGTGGTCGGTGGAAAAGTTACAAGAAGCCATATTCGACTTGTGTTCTAGTAGCATCGCGAAATAAGTTTAAAAAAATGTAGCTTCGAGTGTTGTTTTTTTATCGGTTAAGTATGATCAAGAAAGAACTGCGGCTCTCCAATTTTCTGCTGGTGTTTACTTGGTTTTCGTTGTTACAAACGAGAAGTAATGGTAAGTTATGTAAAAATATTGCAAGACAAACAAGTCAGATTAAAGTTGTTGGAAGTTAAGGGAGACTGTTTAACAATAGAATCTTAGGCCTGCTAGCTGGAATGGTGACTTTAATTGAATGGTTTAGATCAGCTTTATGATAAGCTCAATTATTATAAACCCTGGTTTTGAGCACTAGTGCGCATATAAGCAGCATCTTTTTGAAATAAAGGCTTTTCTACTTTTCAGCGGCACTGGAGCCATGTCCTGGTCAGTATTGTGGAAGAATTATTGATAAAAGTGGAAATATTGGATACAACTGTGGGGTAAGACATGAGAAAATTTAATAACAGGGACCATTAATTATTTTCTTTTTGAAATTGAGGGCTGTCTTATATGTTGGCATAATTAAGCATAATCAGGCGTACATTTAGGTAAACAAACTAACTACACAACAGACAAGTGTCATGAATGACTTCGTAAATGTTAAAAGCAATGGAAGAGAGAAACCTCTGCTCACAGGTTATGGCATGAGAAGAAGCATATCCACAAAAAAACTGATGTCACATGTCACGTAACCACATAGACAGTTATGGGTCCTTGGATAATTTATGTTATTTCTACTAGTTATGTTCTGTTTTCAGCCAGTATGTTAATTTTCATTTTTGTTTTGTGGGTTTTGTTAAGCTACATATTTAATTTTTTGCTTGTTCATTATGCAAAGCTCCATTTACACCTTGTGTATCAATTTACTTCCTACTGCGAACACCTTTCACTTGTCCGAATGCTGTCGCTGAAGAATTAGTGATTTGTTCTTTAAACGTGAGGGGACTGTCTAACACCATGAAAAGGCGTGAAATATTTTGGTGGCTGAAAACTAAAAAATACGTAATATTCTTTCTACAAAAAAAAAAGTTATGAGTGGTTCAGGTGTCATTGCATCACGTAAGTTTGCATACCAGAATGTACTTGTATGCATGATAATTTTTTCAGGCTTGCCCAAGAGGTTATCGTACCAATGGCACAGTGTGCTTGGAGTGTACTGGATCCCCTGACCTATATGACTGGCTGTACTTAGGATTTATGGCTTCATTATCTCTCATATTCCACGGGTTCTTTATTGACTTTTTCTCAAAGAGAGACAAAAAAAGGTAATATTAATGTGTCTGAACACAGTTTTGGGGGCAGTCAGCGGTAACTTGCGTGACGGCGATTGTTTTAACTTAGACAAACAAACATGGCTGCCAAAAATCAATGGTAAACAGAAGACGAGCTACTCACCAAGTTTCAGATTGTGAGCTGCAACCCTTCTCTTGCCATGATTTGGCAAATGACATATACTCACAAACTGCTAAAACTGTGTTCAGCCACATTAAATCATTGTTTTCTTATTAATATAATAAAATTTGTTTCTGTTCTGTACATTAACAAAGGCATGATTTAAAATATATTCTGCTCAACCTCCAGCTGAGTTTTCAAAAAGGGTTGGCTAACCAGGGCTTCTGATATTTCACAGAAAAAAAACAAAATTTCGCGGGATTTTCGGGGGCAAATTCGCGGAAAAATCGGCCGGTTTCGCGGGAAGAAAGTCAAAATTCGCGGAAAAATCGGCCGATTTCTGGTATTTTTGCAGGAAAAAAGTCAAAATTCGTAGAAAAATCGGCCGATTTCGCGGGATTTTCGCGGAAAAATGTCAAATTTTGAAGGATTTTCAGAGGCAAATTCTTAGAAAAATCGGCCGATTTCACGGGAAATTTCGGGGGGAAACAAAAACAAAAACAGCCGATTTCGCTGGATTTTTGGGGGGAAATTTCGCTAAAATCGATCAATTTTGCGTCAATATGACCAGCGTTGTTTAACGTCATTTGCTCTTTCAACAACAGTTTGGTCGAGAAATGAGCGAATGCTAAAGCTATGAACATTATGGTTAGTGCCCAGTTTTTCGCAACGTTCATCTAAAAACGCCTGGTAGTTTTGGGACATTGTTTACTTGTTGCAGTGACAAAGTTTCAAGATAAATTTGGACGTTTGGGGTGAATAAAACAGGTCTAATAGCCAAGATAAGTATTAAATATGTTTTGCTGACATGTATTTGGAAATATTTTGGGCGGATTTCGCGGTATTTCGCAAAAATACCTGAATTTGGCGGGTCCGCGACTGCGCAAAATATCAGAAGCCCTGGCTAACTCCAATGACTGGTTAAGGTTTTTCACTATAGGATGAATCAAAAGATATTAACACAATATTCTTATACAAGTATAATTTTCTATTTTCTCTGGGGTGCAAGAATTCTTGTGTCTCTATGTGACAAAAGGTATCATCCATCTGGATATCTGTGATAGGTTCTTTTATTGTTTTCTCCGAACAGTCATTTTGTTGTAATTTAAGCTATGTTTTGATGGTGCACTGTTGGTTTCCATCAGGTGATGGTGTTAATTAACTGTCAGAGCTGGACTATGAGTATCACCATGGTTACTTGTTATTGGTCTTCCATTACTCTGTTTGGTACTTTGACTTTGCTTGCGAAAACCAGTATAGCATTTGAATAAATTATAATATTGTTGTGGTCTATATGTGATACCAAGTTAGTTCTAATGGTAAAAAAACAGTAGTAATACTTATTGTTTGCTCTAATTTGACTTTGCAGAATATATGTTCTATATCTGAGTGCTTTTATAGAAAGTGCCTTGGCTGCCATTTTTTCTCTTCTAGCAAGTGAACCTCAAGGTACAGTGTAATTTCCTGGGTGTGAGATACTAAATACACTGTAAATGGCAAGCAGTGCAAGGGTCATGGAATTTTTTATAGTTTCATGGTTTGGGGTATCCTGATCTCCCAAGTGATAAGTCTTTTAAAACAAGTAAACAGTAACAAGTTTCCCAGAGTATACTAAGGGATGTTCACAATGCCATGCAGCTGCTAGCAATGTCTGTGTTGTAGTTAATTTTTTATATGAGGTAATTTTTGGTTTTCTCTTTTTTGAACTTCATTAGCAGGCATTACCATACCCAAAAACAAAAGAAAAACAACAATTACCTGAGATAAAAAATTAACTACAACATGTACTCAACAAACACCAAGGGAAAACACAAAAGAATAGGCTTGATAATAACTTGGCCATAACCCTTATTAAAACAAAAGAAAAAAGAGGACATTCTCATTTGGATTGAGCTTCAAGAATTGAATATAAAAAGTAACAAATGTCACTTCATTAATGTGATTTAAGGAATTTAATTTAATTACGTATACCGAGAGGATTGGGGATGTGATGCAGTTAATATTCTTGAATTATAACATTTTTGTTTTAATCTTTAGGCAGCCTGGGTTTAACATCTTGCAAGTCTGAGCAGCTTGCTGACTGGTACACTATATTCTTTAATCCCAAACCTGATTATGTTAACACTCTTCATTGCACACAAGAGGCTGTTTATCCATTGTAAGTATTCCTTTTACTTCACAAACATACAGTCACACGTGACGTTAAGAATATAAAACCTACATGTAGTGTAGAACGGTAAAAATGCACTATGTGCTAACAGGGTTCACGTTAGCCTTTGCCACAGACTAAACCTTACCTCTGGTTTAAGTCCGTCTGTGAGCCAGTGCTGAAATCCTTGTTCTTGCTCCCAACCTGTTTACTAGGATTTGAGTATGTGCCATGATTAGCCTGGTTAAAAAGCCATTGCTGATTTGCGAATCAGGTTAAAGGGAAATTTGAAATGCTTTTTGGCTAATTCATTGTGTTTGTGTGGTGATCAGGAAAAGGATTTTGGTCCTGCATTACAGACTTTTCTATCTGGGGTTAGACTTAGGTTAAATCTTCTATGTAGGTTAGCTTCACATGTGCTTGAGCCTGTCCTGGGTTCTGTAAATTATGAAGCAGCTTGAAGACAGTTTCTTGTTTACAAGAACTATGGGATGGCAAGGTAGACACCTTGCCATCTCCAAAACCCAGTCAGTCGTGAGTCACGGCAAAAACAACTTAAAGTCTTGCTTATAGCCAAATTCGTTGTATCGCGCTGCGAGTTTTGAAAACTTCAAAGGAATTTTGGGTTTTTTTGTTCCATCAATCATCTTAGCGGACTTCTTAGGAAACACATGTTTACTTGTGATTAGTGCATTTTGATCCACTTTGTTTGTTTCTGTGTTTCAAGGTTTGTTGCTTGTGATCGCCCTGTTTCGGGCAATAGTCCACTAAATTTCTTCGAAGATTTTTCTGATCTTTCTTATTCTTGTCTCTTGCAAGAATAAAGCAATGTCTGCCTCCTGCCCTCGACAAAAAAACCACTCATCATCGCAATTTCCTTCACTATTCTTTAGCAGTCTAGAGTCATTCTCAGTTTTGTTTTTGCAAGCCAAGCTGGACAAGTGCGTTGCAATTGTGATTTGCATTAACTCACCCCCCACTCAAATGATTGACGGAACAGAAAAACCAGTTCGAAGTTTGCAAACGCACAGTGCGATACAACGAATTTGGCTATAAGTTTCTATGTGTGTTTCACTTTAGTTCTTGATGTTATCACCTCTTGAACTATTAATGTGGTTGTCTTGAAAAGCTTTTTGTTTAACTTGTGTACCTTGTGATTGTAATTTGTTCTTGGTATTTCACATTAGGTATACCATAGTACTCGTGTATTATGCACTATCTGTTGGCCTCCTGTTTGTGTTCCGTCCAATCATCTCGCACCAGTTCTGTGATGGCCAAGGTCGACCTTCCATTTATGCAGCTCTATACTTCCTTCCATCCTTAGCTGTGCTACATGCCATATTCAGTGGACTAATTTGTAAGTATAAACTTAAGAAGTCTTGACTTTGTTAAATTTGGTATTTCATAGACTTATACATCCCAAAACTCAACTATATTGGAAAAGAATATTATTCTATATTGTAGAGTCTGAGTACTTATTACTGAATCAAGTAGACTATATTTTATTGTCATAATGGTAAGGCTTGTTCTTAGAGGTGAGCATTCCTATACCATGTATGCAAGGTATGAAGTTGGTGAAAGCCCCAACCTTTAGACCATGTCCAGTTAGGCACATGAATGCTTGCTATGCTGTTTAGTTTTTGTGCGAAGAGATGTAGAAAGAAAATTAAGTCACATGGAAGTTTTTAGCCCTAATTGTTTTCCAAGCAGACTGGGTCCATAATGGTTGTGCCATGGTAAGATGTCATCAATTCATCACCAATCACATTTTCATTATTATTTTTTCTATGTCTACATGTAGTTTCTGTCTTGTCTGTTTTCAGATTATTCTTATCCTTATGCAACATTAGTTATTTCTGTTTTGAGTACTGCTGCAGTTTTGGCCAAGAATGAAATTACAGTGAGTACTTTAAAATTTCTTAACAAGTGACCTTAAACTATGATANTGGCAAGGCAGACACCTTGCCATCTCCAAAACCCAGGATTTCATACTGGTGAGTCACGGGAAAAACAACTTAAAGTCTTGCTTAAGTTTCCATGTGTGTTTCACTTTAGTTGTTGATGTTATCACCTCTTGAACTATTAATGTGGTTGTCTTGAAAAGCTTTTTGTTTAACTTCTGTACCTTGTGATTGTAATTAGTTCTTGGTATTTCACATTAGGTATACCATAGTACTCGTGTATTATGCACTATCTGTTGGCCTCCTGTTTGTGTTCCGTCCAATCATCTCGCACCAGCTCTGTGATGGCCAAGGACGACCTTCCATTTATGCAGCTCTATATTTCCTACCATCCTTAGCTGTGCTACATGCCATATTCAGTGGACTCATTTGTAAGTATAAACTTAAGAAGTCTTGACTTTGTTAAATTTGGTATTTCATAGACTTGTACATCCCAAAACTCAACTATATTGGAAAAGAATATTATTCTACATTGTAGAGTCTGAGTACTTATTACTGAATCAAGTAGACTATATTTTATTGTCATAATGGTAAGGCTTGTTCTTAGAGGTGAGCATTCCTATACCATGTATGCAAGGTATGAAGTTGGTGAAAGCCCCAACCTTTAGACCATGTCCAGTTAGGCACATGAATGCTTGCTATGCTGTTTAGTTTTTGTGCGAAGAGATGTAGAAAGAAAATTAAGTCACATGGAAGTTTTTAGCCCTAATTGTTTTCCAAGCAGACTGGGTCCATAATGGTTGTGCCATGGTAAGATGTCATCAATTCATCACCAATCACATTTTCATTATTATTTTTTCTATGTCTACATGTAGTTTCTGTCTTGTCTGTTTTCAGATTATTCTTATCCTTATGCAACATTAGTTATTTCTGTTTTGAGTACTGCTGCAGTTTTGGCCAAGAATGAAATTACAGTGAGTACTTTAAAATTTCTTAACAAGTGACCTTAAACTATGATAAAATGGCAAAAGAGGAACTGAGCTTTCTGTTATTAGATACAGTTCACTCTAGACTCTGGTGTTCATAGAGGTGTTTATTAAGAGAGAGGGTTGCAGTTTTTTAGTCAGTCATTCAGGAAGGTGTTTCCTCCCCTCCCCTACTTAACTCTGGCTGTATACCACAAGCTGTCGAGCTAAACGCGCAAGACACGCAAATGACCACGCACGTGGCTGAAGGCGCGAGGCGTTGCAGTAATGGTAGATAAATTAACTCTTATCGACAGCTCCGCTATTAACGTCGTCAGCTTCCTTTATGCCCAAAGAAAAGACAAGAAAATTACTTTGAAAATGATTTCTGGGAAGTGTAGACATGTTTAGTACCCTTTTGCCTTTCTCATTTTTGCAGCACGTGCGGCAGTTGGTCAGCAGTAAGCGTCACGTGATCATCATAATCATTCATTGGTTGGTTCATGCCTATGGAATATTGGCGGTGACGCTCGTACAAGATCCTACTGTACACGGGCCATTGTTCACGCTCGTTCTAGCTCCTGTCTTGTTTTATCTGGGGACACACTCATTTACCGACCCAAGCAAGTTCAAGACTACTTAAGGAGACCTTTGCTTAAAATTTGCCAGCTTTCAGGTAGTCTTAAATTCAGTTGAAAAAAGTGTTCAAATATCAATAAGGGAACAGCATAGAGGAGTTTTTATTTGGGAATTGAACGGGTGAAGGTAAGGATGCCTACATAGTTATAGACAGTAAAAAAAGTAAGTTCTTTCCCTTCCAAAGGAAAGGCGGGCGGACTCAGAGGGGACGGGTAGACAGACGCATACAATTCACCTGCCTGTCTCGCCCAAGCCTCACTCGGCCGTTTTTGACATCACTTCACACTTTTCGTTTGAAGAGGTCTCGCATTCATGACCAACTCCAAGATAGGGCTGAATTGCAGTTTAAAATAGTTGTAATTCATCTTCACTGCGACAATAGCCACTCATTGCCCAGCTATAGACAAGTTATGGGGAAAACATTTTTCCCAGGCAATGAGCAGAAAATACACAGGCAGACGGATACACGTCGCCATAGGGGAGAAGGGTGGGAAAAAATTTGTGCCAGTAGTTCCCGCACGCAAAACTTGGCGAAAAGAGGGGAAAAATCCGAAAACGTGACTTAAAATGGGTAGACTACGGTCCCTCAAGGAGAAAAGGAAAGAGATGATGAGAATGCCGCTTGCTGAGGAGGCCGCTTGGCCGAGTGGTTAGAGCGCTGGACCCGTAATTCGGAGGAGCCGAGTTCAAGTCCCGCCCTGGTCGCTAACTGGATTTGTTCTCGGCAGTCCCGAGTTCAAATCCTCGGCTGCGCTTGTAAAATAGACAACTGGTTCGCCTCCTACCAGTTGGGGATTTTTACCATGTTATGTCCCATTTAAAATTATTTGTTTCATTATCCCTGAAAAGCCCCATAAGGGGAGAGGATAACTAAAGTGATACAACTCACTTTGACTCTGAAGATGACTACCGCACAGGCTGTCGAAACGTCAGTCACGGTCAAAAACAACAGTCCTATTCAGGACTACGTTCACCCAGACGATCAAACTCAACGTACTTTTGAAATGACTCCTGGGTTCAAACCTTTCACAGTTTTAAAGTATTATTATCATCATCATCACCATCATTATCGATAGCGAGGCGAAATTTCGTGACTATTCTCGCAGTGAAGCTAAACAAGCAATTCTCTGCTTTTTGTGAAACGAAAAGACATTGTTTCAGGACAGTAATCCGCCTTCGTATTGCGTTTTCCTTGGCTTGCTCCTTAATGACTTGGTACTTAGATTATCTCAGCACATTTTGAGAACGGAAAATGCGAACATGTTGAACGGGAGAACCGTTTATGATGCGTGACACTTGTATTAAGATAAGTAAAAGAATAATATTGTAACAAAATATCAAAAAGTGTCAAGAACTTTATGATGTTCTTTCGAAAAAAGGCTTTTCGCTTGTATAGCAATCTTCAGTTTACAGAAATCCATAGAAACAGAAATATGTCGTGTAATTAGTAGAAACCAATACCAATACAGAAAACGAGCTTGATAAAAGAATTTAGTAAAAACTAATATGGTTACACGTTTATAATATTGTACCATGAATAAGTGCATCTTCCAAACCCTGAGTAAGTGTTTGTTAATGTTAAATAGTAAAGCCTGAATACTGGGGTTTGAAACAATAATATTTAAGTTTAGGCGAATGTAATATGAAATTAAGATAAATAAAATATCGTTTTTTTAAAAAAATAGTATTTCCAGTTGAAAGAGCTGAATGTTGTAGCGGGGAAATGATCCTTTTCAGAGGTAAGAGAATGGATAATTCATTCTAACGAAGGGCTAACTCTTTTGTACTGTCTGTCAAAAAGCCCCTTCGAGTCAAAATCAATCCTCAAAATAAATCCTCTTGTCAAAATCGATTGTTCTTACCAATACTTATTTCCCAATTCGATACGAAAGTGGAATACCGAGAACACCGGGTATTCTACACCACTGCAAGGTTGCTGCCAAGGTGTTTTAAACCCTATTAGCGCTGTAGTCAATATCTGTTAGTTATGCTTATGCGTAGTTGTTGTTCGGAAATACATTCACATTTCCTCTATTAGCTGTGAAGGCGAAGGAAACTCAGTGTTTTATCCAGCTGAGGATTAAATGATCTTGAATGCTCTTTGAAGCTGTCAACGCACAACGTAATCATTGAGTAATCATTTCTGTGACCAGCAATATTGAGTTCTCTCTGGTGATTTTAAGAGCTCATCTCATTCAGTTTGTTTGGCCCTGTTAATGAATTTTAAAAGTTCCTGGCAGTGTGTTTTTTGTTCTGTTTAGTTCCACTCACCTGAGTGAGTGATGTCCCTTCGGCCACGCCTTGTTGCCTTTTCTTGTCCGGTCTTGGTTAGACTTGCCACACGTCGACTACGTGAGTGAGCGCCGAAGCGCAAGAAACGGCGAAAGCGACCGGAAACGGTGTTTGGTCTATATCGTGTTATTGCCTTGTCATCTGTCTCGTCCTTGCCTTACCTTGGTCTATATTTTCCTCTCAGAGGCACGTTTATGTTTAATATTTGCTGTGTTTGCATTCAATATGAAAGTTTCAACAATTTTGAAAATGATACTAACAATGAATCAGTTAACGAAATAAAATCGACTGGTTTTTGAGCTAGGAACCGTGCTGCCATTCAGCAGAATTTTCTACCGGGCCCGCAAAGTTATCGAGACTGTCGAGAAACGAAGCTCAGGTCGTGTCTTACCTTAAGTCTTTTCATGGCATGTCTTGTTTTGCGTTGCTCGTTTTATTATTTTCCTATCCTATCTTGTATTTACATGCCTCAGCTTGTATTTGCATGCCTTGTCTTGTCCTGCCTCGTTATTTTTGATCGTCAGTCTTACTTTAAGTCTTTTCATTGCATGTCTTGTTTTGCGTTGCTCGTTTTATTATTTTCCTGTCGTATCTTGTATGTACATGCCTCAGCTTGTATTTGCATGTATGCCTTGTCTTGTCCTGCCTCGTTATTTTTGATCGTCAGTCTTGAATTTTAGTGAGTGTCTTTTGTTGTCCTTCGTTGTCCGGAGTCTCTTATAGTTTCTTATCTTGCCTGCCAGCTATTCGATATCTTCCTCATTGTGCAGGCCTGGAACATTTCATTCTATGAATCAGTAGTTATTAAAATAGAGTGAACTTCCATGTTCAAACTTTTCAAGGACTTTCCGGCCTAAGATTTCAGGAAACCACACTTGATCACCGTGAGTATGTTGTACATATACTCGGAATTAAAGACATGCTAGTAGCGCAGAAATAGACGAAGTCTGACTGTTTTGCTGCAGACTTTTTGATACAAGTTGCAGATGAGCCCATGCAAGGCTTAATCTCGCCCTGCTGTATTCAGCATGGCTGACAGAACGCCTTCGGTTTGAAAATCTGGTTTTATCGCCGCTGTTTGGCAATTTTTCTTGTTTCAATACATAAATCCTGTAATTAGGTAACTGATGAGGTATTCAGAGGCTGACTTATTTTTGAGAAAAGCCTTTTTTGATAGAATTCATAATTAAAAGTAAGAATAAACATTTTATTTTCAGCAGCGAGTCCGCGCCGTAGCCATGCTAGCTAATGATGGTGAAAACAAATAAACTGATCAATGATAACGGTTTTCTTAGAACTTGTCTTTATCAGCTGGTGGCTATATTAAACGCACTGATTACCACACATGCCCTAAATATATCATAGCAACAACTTTCTATTTTTACGTTCATTCAGGAGGGTCCTTACTGAAGTTATGCGAAATTACGTTAGCTTACAGCTGGTCCACTTTAGAGGAAGTTTGTTGCAGTAGAATAGGCGTGTCTTGAATATACGGATATATTTTAAGATGGATACAACTGTCTTATTTTTAGAACACCAATTCTTTTCATCTCTATCAGACTGATTATAAAAACGACATTCCTTTGTAAAGCTCATACTTTCGCTGACGAAACTGTTTATAAAGAACTTGAACCGAAAGTTTCCTAGAATCTCATTATGTCAAGTTCCTAGGTTGCAGAGAGTAGAATATTGGAACCGGAAGACAAATGCCTTATATCTGCCCTACCTTCTTCGCCTTTGAGTGAACACACAAGTAAAAAATAACCAGAAGCTAACTGACTTCCGCGCAAAGGACCCTTTCACCGTTAACATGGAAGATCTTTATATAACGACAACAATTGCAAGTTTCAAATTTGCAATGTAAAATATATTTTAAAAAAATAAGTGACAAATATGAACTTCAAATTCTCTCTCATTTAGGTCCTAAAAATACGGGAGGGTTAAATTGAACATAAAAGAACAAAAAAGTAATAATATAATTAAAATCTGAGATTTCCGCTTCAGTTGGTATTTGAAGAAACGAAACATATTTCTCAATGTCATGGTGAAAAGGATACGGTGTCGAAATCACGATCGTGTCATTCTTGTAAATTTTATAAAAGAACGTGATTTTCGTAATTGGTTCTATTTCTCACTCGTTACTTAATAGATCCTTAGTTCCGTTTAGATGTTAACAAGTCGTGTGTGATCATGCATGTTATGAACATGAATTAAGTTCTTTATTATCATTAGTTTTTGTTTTTGGTCAATGATCTCTGACGTATGCCTTGTTTTCACAAGAGGCTACTTAATTATCGGCGGTGACCACGAAACCGAGTGGCCGACAGTTTAATATGCCAGCGGGAAAGCTAGAGTTGTGAGGTTATTTGGAGAATATGGATGAAAATTCGCGCTTGCGCCAATTCAATGATTAAAAAAGAGAGTGGGAGACAATTAAAGACAAAGAAAGAAAACAAAAAAACAATAATAACAAAACAACAATTCTGACGTAAAATACCTCAAGGTAGGCTTTGTAGATAAAAAAAAGTCAGCTGAAAAGTACAGAGTTTTGGATGCAGAAGGAATCGTGGTACAACAACCGAGTGGATTAAGTGGCTTTTTTAGTGAAATAAGTCCGAGAAAACTGAAAGTTTGGCCAATTTTCATCCAAACTTTCGTTAATACTACAAATCTTAACCTTGAGAATGTTAACACCTGAACTCAAAGGCATATAAATTATAAGATTTTTTTTATCCCTTGTGCTCATTACTTCATCATGGTCAGAAACGTCTTTTAAAAATTCTTCTTGCTTTAGTTGCTCGACCTTGGACAGTATATAATCATCTCGCTCGAGGTGATTGTTGTCTAATACTGAAGACGTAATCGTCTTGCAACAATCAGACAGAACACTCATATTGAACCTGTCCTTCGTAAAGAAAGATAAAAGCCGACAGTATTATCAAAAGAGACACCAAATATATCGGGCATGCTAACCTTGACCTTGTTAACCTTGAACTGGCCGGCTGTAACTCTTCAGATCAGCTTCTGTATTGTGTTATTTTGCAAAGTTTTAGGGCCTCGAATAGCAGTTTGTGCTATTTTGCAAGGGACATCTACTTATTGTGCACGAAATTAAGTTTTGTTGTTGTTTTTAAACTTGTCTGATATTCTTTTAGGTGCGCGCTCGGCTTTTAAACTGTATTTTCATATTTCTCAAAACTTCAAATGAAGGCCAAATTCAGTTTAACAGAATACTTGTAAATAGTTCAGTGTCTTGTCAAGGTGTCAAAAATGTAGTCAAATTACTGAGCAAAATCGAATGAATTAAGAATACCTTAAATACAGTGCATTAAGGAAAATATAATGACGATAGTAGGACAATTGTACGATGACGATATTTGACTACAACTACCAGAATTCATTTCGGTTTTGCTTTGTTATTTAAATTTGTCAATCCCGCTGAGGATTAAAGAACAGCAGCCTTAATTTGCACAAGAAAACAACAAACTCAAGGATTCTGGTAGTTGTAGTAAAATGACGTCATCGTGCAATTGTCCTAATTGAACAAGTTGTTTGTTCAGTAGCAAGTGCCTTTTCTCGTAATTAGATAAGAACCTATTTAAGGAACTAAAAAAGCCTAAATTTGTCATCGGACAAAAAATATATTTAAACAAACTAGTTTTTGCTGACGTTTTTTTCCTATTTTTTTTTTCTTAACTCACGTCTAGGACAGTATTTATATTCTGGCTTGTATAAAAGTACGTCATCTTACCTATTGAATTTAACCTTAAAAATTTCTTTTAATTTCGCTTTTTGCACTCCACTCTAACCTCTGATGATCGCAGTCTCCACTGACTGATGTAAATGGTAGTTTTACAAAGTTGAAATTGCTCACAACAAACGACAAGCCATCCAGTTAAAGTAAATCGCAACAAAACAAAATTGAACAAAACTGTAACCTCCTCGATCATTATTTCTTTGAGTGGAATCTTAAACCACTTTGCCAAGATTTATTTAACACTGGCTTGCTCAGTAATATCAATAACTTGTGATCTTGAGAAAGGATCCATCGGCTATCTTTAACTTCAAACGCCCAGCTCTTAGATAAAACTAGCAACGAGGTTATTGTTAGTGATTATTTGTCCTACAACAATCGCCCAAAATAGCTTTGTCTCTGAATTTTTAGCCTGTGAACAGGTGCATGTGTGAGGGGAGGGGGCGTTTGTACATGAAATAGAGCGCTTGAGACTAAGTTGTCTTGAATGCGTAATTAGAAGTATTAGAAGCAGCAAAGAAGTCGGTTGTGGAAGTTTGTCATCAGCATTTTTGTGTCCAATTATCGTGTGTTCACGAAGTCGATTTGACTCTTATTTCACAGTGATTTCTAAGAAAGAAATGTCAACTAAATTCCGGTTCCTTACCGACTCAGTTCTTAGTGCCTTATCGGCTTTCAGTTGTTATATGGTGCATCCACTGTTTTTCGGCACGTCCAGTCGGAAAACTGGGGCACGCACTGTATTGCAGTTAAGCACTCGTTTGATCTTAGGTGCAAGAAGGCGAAGGCTTTAGTCATGCAAACAGTCATTCCGTGACTGCAGCTCGCGATCTTTCCGCGTAGTTTTCACGTTGCGATCACGTTGCGAAGTTTTGAATCAGCTTCAAATATTGCGTCGTGATGCTTCGTGCGTAATTATTACCTAGTGGCGTGGAAGCTTTTGTCGGGACCATGTCGGGTTAAAAAAGAACATACCCACGTTTCACGGAAAAGTTACTACTAACACGGCAAACTGTTCCATGATTCATGTGCCTTGCACCAAATTTGTAACAGTTTAGGAAGCAACAGAAAAGTCAACATCAAAGCAGAAGACAATCATTAGATAAAATAAATGAAATAAAATGAAAATAATAATTATACGTATATATTAAAAAATGAAAGCTGATTGATATTTAGACTAAAAAAAAATGCTGACTCTATTTAGTGGTGTATGGAGTTCAAAATGCTGACTCTGTTTAGTGGTGTATGGAGTTCAAGTGAACCAAAGAAACTCCGCCCAAATAAAGAATTCCACAAAGTAGGCAAATAGATAAAAAATACGAATAAAAAATACTGATAGAGTGGTGTATCACTTAAGGTAGTCCTTTTAGACTGTTTTTAGGGAGCTAAACACGCAGAGCATCGCTGCTATCAATAGAACGTAGCATGAAAATAACACACAAACGATCGAGGGTCTGAACAAGTGCCTGAACAAGTGCCTGCTGACCTGTTTAGTATCACAGATTATAATTAATGCTACACTGTACAAGGTGATTCTTTTTTACTGAACTTAAGCTCTAATTTTTCATGTTTCGTAAACACTGTCTCGTAGGGTTGAAGACGGTGAAAAATACCCTTATTTGAGTGTTCGTTTTACGTCAAATGATTTTGCAAATAACACAAAGCAGCGAGAAACTCGCCGCCATGGAGTCTACGGCATGAGGAAACCACTTTAGCATCTTGGATATTTTTCAGATCTATCCAACACTACCGGCCTTTACAATAACTCAACGCGACTTTCTTCAGGAACAAGTGTTTCAGTTTTAAGTCACCCATAAGTTTAACGGCGAATCATTTTCTTTTTCAGTCAATCATGATTAAATATTCAATAAAATTATATACGATCGTGCTAATTAGAACCCACTAACCGGTTGTTAATTTAGATGTCGACGGGTTTCAAGCACATCCACTCCTGATTTTTAGGCATCATAATATCACCTCGAGTTGGCCAAGTATTGCATGTTTGAATGTGAACTTAACTCGATACTATTGACTCTTTCTACTAAACAAAGCGTGCAGCTAGGCTGTCCGGTAAAGAGACAGTCCACTCCTGAAGTTTCAGAAAGCAGTGGAACTATTAAAAAAACTGATCCCGGTTGCAATCACCGACGGAAGTTTTAGTAAAAACACGCGTTCGTTGTTGCGTAGGAGCTGTACACCCGGCGTCCACCAGTTTGTTGCAATATCATTCAGTCACATATTTTTTTCACTGAATAGTGAATGACCAAATGAGCCATATTTATCACGTTGTCAGAGCCCAAATTGCTCATTTTTATTTGTTGTACGATTTGTTTTTTTATCCTCAGATGTAGACGTAGTTTTGACGCCTTTCAGACATTTGCAATATTGTCTATCAGTGATGCAAACGCTCACTACAATACGTACAAATTTAGTTTTTATTACGAAAGCTCGTTATAACGTGGTAAATAATTCCGAAGGATAGTGTTTATTGATATTGATTGCTACAAGGCCTTAAAATCGTGCGTCACAAAGTATTAAAGTCAAGGTTTACTCCTGGAAAACAAGAGTTTACCAGTTGTTTTGATGTCCGTCAGACAGTATTAATTGTTTTAGTCGAAAATTCTTGTAGACTTTCTTAACAGAAAAGTGAAACGTAATTGCTACCTTGGGTTAACTAACTACTCCAAACTACACTGCGAATATTTTTGTTGAAAACATAAGTTACAAGGCTGAAGCCAGGCAAGAATTAGAAAAAAACTTTAAAGTGGTTCTTTGAACTTGTTCTCTAGAATTTGTGGCTTTCGCCCTCCCAGATTTGTACGATTGCGATTAATATTGTATTCTTTTGGAAAAAATTATAAAACATTATAAAATCATAAGGTAAGTCTTCCTGTTGCCCTGCTTAAAATTGGGTAACAATTAATTAATCAGTGACCTAGGGATTGCAAACGATTGCGACCAAACATGTAATTTGACTTAAAATTCAAGTGGTAGAGTAGTTGAAATCACAAAAAGCAAAACAAAGACCATCGGTTCTTATAATTTGCTCATTGTAAACGCTGCGATCATTTGTTTATAATACATGGATTAGTATTTCTTGTCAAGTACCGATTTTCCGCACAGAAATGAAGAACAAACATATGCCGCATTGTTTTGTTTCTTCCTTGTAAACTAAAAACTTGAACGTACTACCACAAATCACACTAGCGCGAAAACATAATAACATACATTTAATGGCACAAAACAAGCTCGCATTCGTAATATAACTGAGATTCAATGGGCCGTCTTTGAGCGCAAGGGCTATTTAATCTTGGTCGAGTTGTTAACGCTTCATCAGCTCGTTCGTGGGTGGAAAATATGATACACAGCACTCCATAACCCTTTGAGCAATTTCACCCACAATTTAACGTTCTCTTTGTGTATTCGTATAACTCTATTCAGTTCACTGGACCGCGAAACTTTTCACACTTGCTTCCATACCCTGGCAACATGCTCCACGGAGAATTGCCAGTTAGGCGAAAATTCACGAAAGAGGACGATACAGAATCGTTGTAAGTCAGTTGTAAGCGATTTTTAAATCATCTCTTAAAATAAACCTCTCGTCATCAATTGTGTTACTAAAAAAACGGAAGTAAAGTGCCCAGCCCGACCAATAAGGGGTTCCCCTAACTGCTCTTAACAAACAACCATGTAATTGTTTTTACCGCGAGGTTTCAGCACTGTTGGTAGGTTTGTTATTTTAAGTACAAGAAAATTCCTTGTTCAAAATTAAATTAATGAGACGTCCTCTATTCTGACGTAAAACTTCTGGAAAGGAAAATGGGCACACAACGAGTATTTAAGCAAGCCGATTTGAGAGCAGTTTACAAACAGTTTTGCAGACTCGAACTTAAAGTTGTCAAAAAGGGAGAGATACAAGAGGATTACAGAAGTGAACGCAAGTACCTAAAGAAGAGAGCAAGTACACTCCTGCAAAAATGGCATCGAGTATCGTTGTAGTAAGTATAGTTATATTTTCTCAGCAAAAATTTTAGTTTTGAGAAATGTTTGTCTTACTTTGATATTTGTTCGACCTGTGCTTTTTTTGTCCGTACAAGAATTCATTGGATACGAATTTTTTTTGTGCTTTTACTCGAAAATAACATCGTCCTTTTGAACGCTTTTTGTTTTTAATTGATTTTATGAAATTCTTCACGCTTGAGGGAGTTTGTGGGGTGCCATTATAATAACTAAAGAAACGAATTTACATTTTGAGATATGTTCAGTGGTGTGTAGTATATTTCCGTGAGACTATGAATGATAATCGTTACAAACCTCTGTGTACGTTTTTCTCAACTTCTGATAACCAGCGATTGGCCTGGATTGACTACAACTCGACGTACATGAAAATCAGTTCACTTCGTACTTTGGCTGATGTTTTCTTGAGTCAGCAAATCTCTTCACTTAAACAATCATGCAACGTTAACACATTCTGGCGACTTTTGTTATTTTTCAGATCTTGGGGAACGTTCTCGTTTTATTTCACGCGATTCTGACCATCCAATCAGCGCCTTGCGGGAAGTCACCAGTCCTTGTGACACCTCGAGAAGTAGTCGACAAAGTTTCCAGATCTACTTGGATGCTAGTGAAACATAACCCATGGCAACAACTTCAGCAAAGTTTAAATCGCCGGCCGAGAAGACGTTTAAACGACATGGTTGTGTCGCACTACTGCAACTGGACAATTCAGATAGACGACAACCCGGATCGAAATCCCAGATTTCTGTCGAAAGCAGTGTGCCAAGATTGCAAATGGTACTGCCAAGCTGTAGAGTACGAACACCGCGTTTTACTGAAGGACTGCCCAGACTATAAAACTCACAAGGCGAACATGGTTTTGTGGAAATGGGAGACCGTCAAACTACCTGTTGCCTTTGTTTACAGTCCGTAGCAATGGCCATGTCGAAAACGCTGAAAAAAGAAGACCTGGATATCGAACCTAGCAAGTATACAATCTCAAGTGCCCCCCGCTGACAACAAACTACAACAAAACTTTATTTAGAGCACAATTAGTACTACAAAAACATTTAGCATAAGATGAAATTCCAGTCAGGGAATTTAGTAAAGCAATAAGATGTGGAAAAAACAAAACAGTATAGAAACTAATCTGTAAAGTTATAGTGATGCCTTTACGTACAAAGACTTAAAGGTATGAGAGTACGGTAATTAGAACGCGGGAATTAGAATACGAATACTGGTGCATTTTAAATCACGTTTTCATGTACTTGATATTAGAAAGTATTGGGGGGAGCTCAATGTAGTCATACGTTTTCTGAAGAATTCCCAAGAGGAACTGCTCGATAGATTCAAACGTAGATTACCTCGGCAACTCAGGAGATTGGCGAATGAGTCGGGCACATTGTAATGAAAATGAAAACTGGGTAGCGCTTCAAAGGAAGTCAAGTTGGAAGTTGGCGCGACCGCTTTCCTGTGTCTAGAAGGCAGGCAAAGAAGATGACGGTGAAAGCTCAAACGTCTTCAGCTTCCCGTATTCCTAGAAATTATCGGAAAAGCTCCAAGGCATCATTTACAAGTGAAGGACTAAAGATTTTAGTGAATAGTTAGGACTTTTTCTATTTATTTATATATATTAGCTCTTATAACGAATGATATTTTGATATGTGACAATTCCATGTTTGGACTTGCTTCTGACTGGTTCAGAACTAAGCCCACTAAAAAACATTTTTAAAACTCCTACCGGGTGAAGGGTAGGATTTCAGAGTTAGGTAATTTTATTAGTTAGGAAATGTTCAGAGTTTTTTTCTGTGCTAAGCACAGCAAGCTACTGTTAACTCAAAGAGTTCAAAATAAGTTGTCTCCAATTAAGGAAACAGTTTACTGAGTACGTTATAAACTCTTAGTAGATGTACTGCTTGTATAGTGTAAAAACAATTAGCCACCTTTTTAGTTCTACTGTGTATTACATCATATTTCTGGCTACTAAAATATACACATGCAGTCTCTAGATTACTTATAAGAAACTTTTTGCAACCCTGAAGTCAGGGACAATTAATGAATAAAAAAACAGTATTAGTCACGATTATGTGTTCTATGCTATTTAATTTTGTCAGCTAGGCTAACTTCGTAGAACTTGGTACCTTATCATACTTCGTGAACTTTATTCAGCTGTTTTGGGGTGCGTGATTCCCTTTTTTTTTTGGGCTGATTAGTGATATTTTTATGAATTTTCTGAGCTCTTTTTGTCTCTACGAGATTTAATCTTTCCGTTCAAATCATAAAAAGCAACCTGAATTTCGTCTTCGACAAAACAACGTTTCGTCGTGAAATAGTTTTCTAATTAAAAACATGAAAACTTCCGTCAAAGTGTTGATAAAGTCGGAGAAAAACTAAAATAGAACCTTCTCAGCCGGGATCCTAGCACGTTGGTAACCACACTGAATTAAAAACATCTCATACAAAATATGTTCTACTAATTTTAGCAGGTTTCTAACTTTGAAATGGCATTCAAAAGCAAAAAAGTGTAAAGAAAATGTTACCTCATATAATGTTAACTTACGTTATAGGTGAAGATACCTGAAGTTTGTGCGCAGTTGACTGAGTTATAACCTCTTCGATCCAAAATACTCGCCGCGCATTCATTTCTCAGACAAATTTGTTTCCCCTGCCCAATATCACTGAATTTCTATGTTTAGCAGGCATTTCGTGAGCTCAGAGTATGCAGATTTTACATCATGACACAATGATTTTAGTCTTCTCGGCGTGGTTACCAAAGAACCACTGACTTGGGCCAAACTAGAAACTCGGAGATTATGATTGTATTATTAAGAGACATTACATAAACCGAACATGACGCATGACACCCTCGCAGCTCGCTCCAGAGTATCGACACAGCGATCGAATATTCGGGCCAAATATGTCCATAAAGTATTCCTACTGAAATAAATGATTACATTGCCAGCTTTATGCCCGATATGGAGGTGTAGAAAAATAGTGCAGGTTCTACAGGACACAATCAGGACTTCGCCTGGCACAACGATTTGAAGTTCGAGCGAAATTATTACTTTGCGCAATTAAACCGTCTGTCTGCAAACCAACTTCTGCTAACTTAATAAGCACTAAGATCTCGAAAGATCCATTGTGTTGATATGAACATAACTTAAATGACTCTTTGAGCGGAGTGATCTGCAGATCTATGCCTTAAAAAATTAACGCCGCCCGATTTGCTCACTGAATTGGATAAGATCAGAAGGCGGAGGGTTCAAACTACGGCTGGCCCAACACTCGAGGTCCTTAAAACACTGAGGAGAAAGTTGCTGCCCTTGTAATGACATCAGCAAACGGTAGGACAAATTAGTCTTCTCGGATAAGGACGACATACCATAGGCACCGTCAAATTCATCTTCACATTATGGGGCATCATTACTTCTGCATTACGGCATTACTTGTAAAGTGCACCATAAGCAGTCTGGTAAAAAATCCCCCAGCCATGCAATGTTGCAAATTATTCCTTAAAAGCCCTGAGAGTGGTCACGAGAATAAAGGACATGATTACACAAGGAGAATTTAATACAGCTGGATACTTTAACTACCTTTCCCCACCTCTTTTTTGTAGGAAATGTATAGGAACAACAAACAGCTGAACAAATATGAATTTAAATTTTGACGTTAGCGTTTGAATTCACGAAGATTCTGCTTTAAACCAGTAGTCACACTAAAGAGTACTCGAGCCAGAGATCAAATCACTCGTGACATGACTGCATGGCTCACCACCATCAAATCTACCTCAAATAAACGAAACGATTTATGAAAATGGTAATGAACGATCACATAACGTTCTACTTCAAATCTCCTTGGCCTGGCTAGAAACGTCATTTGTGCTCCATTGCGTATGCGTTTCGTGGTATGGTTTTCCCAATGGCTATTCCCCAGTTTACCATACCTCGCCAAGGGCCCGTTTCTCCAAAGTCCCGATAACTTTTCGGGCCCGAAATCAAATATCCAAATCGAAATATAAAGAATAAGAGCGCGGGTCCTGGCTAACAAAATACTCTCTTTTGTTTCATTAACTGATAGTTTTATCATGTTGGATGCAAAACTATTGAAACTTCTATCTTACATGTAAAAAAGAACAGCTTTACGGCGGGACTTTCGAGAAACGGGCCACAGTACCGGTGGAAAATGGTCGTTATTCAGTGATTTAAAATACAGGAAGATAGTGTTAAAAATATAAAAAACGATTCAGCTTCTTCGAATCCGATCACAAGTCTCAGGTTGAATTGCCATGAATTCGATGCCCTGTAAAGCAAAATCATTTCCTTTTTTTTTTTTTTGTTTTTATTTTGGAGAGTAGTAGAGTTTTTTTTGGGGGTCTTTGTTTATTGGGGAGGACTGTTATTTTTGTGATCGGAAGAGGGGGAGGGGTGGCAAGGTTGAGACGGTGGGACGAGTTTTGGTGTGAGCGGAGGGAGTCTCCGGTCGTGGAACAGATATTTATATATTAAATAAATAAACAAATTTTATAAAAAAAAAAAAAAAAAAAATAGCTTCGTGCGAGGGAAACACCAGGCCGGGGGGGGAATGGCAGTAATTAGATTTCTTTTAAATAAAAAAAATTTTATTTTTTTTTTTTTTTTTTTTCTTTTCCAACATAGTGCCTTCTCTCTTCCGCATATCTTTGAACTGAGTCACATCCTTTTTAAGAAAATACGAAACGGAGACAGTGTGGTAAAATTTCACAGCATACAGAGACTTTGTGGTCAGTGTGATCAGCCTCCTTAAGTCACAAAAACAGAAAGCGATCTTGATGTACTTTATGCAACAACTGTTTAAGAAGACTTCACCCGTGGCTTCTTGTTCTACTCGCTACGTCGTGATCGAATTGTTGTCACAGAGCAGAAGCGTGTCACTTGTGTAACGCAATACTTGTAAATACACAATCATTTCCGCCCTGTGTATTTCCGCATTGTTTCAGCACCAATTGGTTTCGTGTGTGTTCCCCTCACTGAAATTAAAGTCAGGATAGCAAGTGTACATCTTCAATTGCTTGATATTGAAGACTAAATTTAAAGGAGAACATGACACGGGAATCCATTGGAAATAAGACGACTTTTAATTCTGGTTAAACACAAAATGAAATAGTAAACCAATTTCTTATTTGAGCGAAAAGCGCCTGAAATAGCTTTACGGTGTTTTTCTCGCTTTAGCGGTGCCTGAAGGGGGGTAAAATCCCAGTATTGTGGTCGATGATTTTCAAGAACTATCGGCAACAAGAGAGAATGACTTAGCTTTCTTCTTACTGTACAAATGAATAATTAAATCGGTGAACTCGTAACCAAAGGAAACAAACTTGAATTTAACATACAATTTATGTTTGAATCTAATGAAAACCTGAAATGCCGTGCCATTTTTTAATATTTAACTGAAATCGGAGGAGAAATATTAGTTCAATAATGCGTTATCGTTTGGGAGCTCCTATTCAAGTATCAACACAGTTCAAGCCGTAGCGCTTACTATCCAAATATTCTGCAAGTAAACAAATACAAAAAATGAAAAATATTTCGGCCTATATTAAGGGGCTTTGTTATTTAATTTGCTATACTTTGAAAAAGCTCAAAGCTAAATCGTGTTATTACACTGATCAATTAGTGTGTTTTAAGACTATGTTTAGGCGCTGAAACTCGGTTTCCTGTTTTAACGGATGGGAGGATGAACTCAGGTTGAAACATGAAAAAGTTGGACCAATTTTTTCAAGTTTTAAAGCTAGCTATGCCTGCAAAAATCACCCCAAATAATTATTATGGTTACTGCTCCCTGATGAAATTTGTTTTATGTTCTCTTAACTCTAAAGGAGCATTTTTTCCCGGGGGCGGGGGGGTACTTTAGGACTTTTTGGTTGGCTCTGCCGCTGGGACCTTGGAACCCTTAGCCTATACCAGAGCTAGCTCAGGTGAATTTTGCTACCCTATACTAGACTAAACTCCCCAAATCCCCCCCGGCACATACCTATATAGCCCATATATGACAGTACTCCCCTCCCGGGCATTTTGTGTATTGGTTAAGACGCTAAGTGATGACTTTAGCACAGAATTGACCAAATACTGCAATATCGTGGTGACACAGCTCCTTATAGGACATTTAAAGGGCAATTTTCGCTTTTGTGGTTAAGAGAGTGTACTTTTTCTACGCGAAAGTTCGAAACTTCAAACCAGCGGTGTTTTTCCCAGGTGCGTGGACGAGGGTGCATTTTTGAGCAAGTGAGCTATTTAACGGAGGACGATGGCGTTTCATCAGTTCTTTTGTTCTACTGAAAGACGTGCAAATAATGGTGCTCAAACGATAATTACTCTCTGCTAATACTCTTGAATCATCGGGCCAAGAAAACTTTAATGACGAAATCAAAAGTGTAAAAGAACGAGAAAAACTCCACGCAAGTTTACTCAAAACCTGAATATTCATTCATTTTGTCCAGGTGAAAATAGCTATCGAAAGCGGAAAAATGTCTCACTTGAAGTTGTGTTTCTTTCGATCGCCCCGTTTCATCATGTCACCTGACAAGTTGTAAGTGTCATTTTTAGTGTTTAGCGGGGTATTCCCAGAATGATCCACCCGGTTGTTCTTTTTTAAGAATTACTTTGAAAACGTCTCTCTTATAAAATGCGATCAGCCCTTTCAGCATTAGACGTAGTTTTCAAGTGCTTCCACGACACAACTCTTCGGGAAACGAAGACGGCCGACCGCTCACACCGATCTGCACAGATAAGGCGATGAAGTTAACAGTATCATTCACGGTACGTTAGAGTTATACAGTGAAATCAAGCGGTGGCAATTTGTTCTCTCTTTCTTAATCAAATGAAATTATATTTTTACACAGTACTAATCGATTTCAGGGTGCAAATTTCCAAGTCTAGTAGGCCAAGAGAAAAGAGAACACAGTGACTACACTTCTTTTTTTCTCCTCTATAGTGCTTTAGACATTAGTAATAATTTGGCAATTCTCTTTTCCGCTTCCCGTCCGTATTAGTACAACACACAGGCATTACGGCTGGGCGACCAGTGAGGCTAAATTAACATGTCATCGCTAGCCGTAACTTTGAATATTTGCTTATCGGTGGCTTTCCGCAGAATTGACTTTCATTGTTGCGAAGTTCCGTTTAAGATTTGAATCTGTTTGGAAGATATTACCGTAAAATTTAAGAGTTATTTTGTTGTGTGCATATATGTGTGTTCAGGATCAAAGATGAGGGCGAAAATATCGAAAACGCCTCCGTCCGATTCCGTTTTTGAGTAACCATGTGGTGTGACAAGCTACACGGTGAAAAAACTAATTTTCTTTGTACTGCTTTTCGACACGCTATGCTGGGCATCTTTGTCACAATGAAAATTTTCTTTAAATAAATTATCAAATCTTATAACCGCCGTTACTTGAAAACAGTTTTTGAGAACGTTCCGCTGATTTTGCCAGTAAATTAACCTAGAATGAGTTTCAAAAAATTTCCCTGAATATTCTTAATTTGCTCGATGAAATCTATAGTTTTCAAGGGAAAAAAGCATATTAAAGTGAACGGGTCGTTTACAGTAGAGTGCATTTGGTATTCATCTCTTGAGAACTGTTCCAGAAGGCCACCATTTTTTTCTATCTCAGTTTATAAAACGTTTGCTTACTCTGCAAAAACTTCTTCACATGACTTTTCTTTATTTATGGTGCGTATATTTGATTATTGTTGACAGTATATCGTTACAATTGTTATTTTATATGTTATTATTACCCTCACTTCTAATATTAAATAAATGTTGTGGAAGCATCCAATTATTTTAAATGCATTACACACTCACTGATAAACAAAACTTTTTCACATGACTTTTCTTCTTTTATCGTGCGTTTGTTCGGTTATTGTTGACAGTATATCGTATAGCTGTTATTTTATATGTTATTATTACCCTCACTTCTAATAAATGTTGTGGAAGCATCCACTTATTTTAAATGCATTACACACTCACTGATAAACAAACCTTCTTCACATGACTTTTCTTTTATCGTGCGATTGTTTGGTTATTGTTGATAGTATATCGTATAGCTGTTATTTTATATGTTATTATTACCCTCACTTCTAATAAATGTTGTGGAAGCGTCCACTTTTAAATGCAATGTACACTCACTGATAAACAAAACTTCTTCACATGACTTTTCTTTTATCGTGCGTTTGTTTGGTTGTTGGTGACAGTATATCGTATAGTTTGTCACTCGGTTATGAGCTCCTGGTTATATGTTATTATCACCTCACTTCTGATAAACGTCGGGGAAGCGTCCACTTATTTTAAATGCAATTTATAAAATAACTAAGATAGTACGCACGTTCCGATAGGTTGAAAACCTATGGGTTATTGTACCGGTAAACTCATACAAAACTTAAAGTTATTTTATAAAAGCAATAGACCACACTTTCTATGGGTTTACCAGTGTGACAACCCACTTGGGATGTTGGGAGAACACTCGAAAAGCTTGTAAATCACTTGCCTTCGGCTCGTGATTTACAAGCATTCCGAGTGCTCTCCCAGCATCCCAAGTGGGTTATCACGCCGGTAAACCCATGGAAAGTGTGGTCTATTGCATAAATAAACTCACTGATAAGCAAGCCCAACTTGATTGTCTTGTAGACTTCAGCTGACGTCACAAGTAGACCTTTAAAATAGACCTTTTTAGCTTGTGTGTTTTGTTTTCCCAATTCAGACTACGTGATGTTCTCCAGGGAATTTGCCTTTTGTCTTTTCATATTGCCTTAAATGATCGATTAAGCGCCGCGGCGCTTATTTCATTTTCCCCGTTATAGGTGCGGCGCTTATACTAGCCTGCGTAGCAAGCGTTTCTGTGCGGTTTAGGAGCAAAGAGCTAGGAACAAGAGTCAAAGACCGCGCGAAAAATGGCGCGAAAGTAAAAGAGCGGGCAGGGGGTGTGTTTAAGTTCTCGCGCGATCAAAACCGAAAATCCCCTTCCACGGTGTTTTTTTGCTCCGAAACCAAACGGAAACGCTTGCTACGCAGGCTACGCTTATACGAGTGCGGTGCTTATTCGAGAGCGGCGCTTATTTCAACTACGGGTGAAACATTTAGGGGAATATAGAGAAAATTAAGTGAGGCGCGTAGAGTTTCCCCACTTTAGAACTCACAAGTTGTTCGAGGTCTTATTTCTCAAGCGATATGGTTTTGATATATCTTTATATCAAGCGCCGTAATAAGGCGAGGCGGTGATTTGTTAATACCCAATTTAGCGCCGCGGCGCTTATTCGAGAGCGGCGCTTATTAAATTATTTTCGGTAAAGGTGCGGTGCTTATTTGAGTAGCGGCGCTTAATCGATCATTTACGGTATTCACGTGGATGCACGTTCATTGGACGACATTTGAAAGAAAAAGTTCTCTGAGGTACCATCCCGTGGCCTGAAATGAGAAAACAAAACAAGAGCCATGATGGCACCTGTCCCATAATGGCTCTTGATACAAGCTAAAAAGATCTTTTTTCCAGATCAGTTTTTATATCATGAAACATATTGGTGAAATCAGGAGGAGATTCTTCTTTTGAATTAAGGAAGTAAAGGCCTTCAAAAATTGTAGCAGGCGCAAATGGAAAATACTTTTTTAGAGGTGGAAAGTACCGACGGAAATATTAGTAGTCAAGAATTTTTCAAAAATTTTATTCATGTACTTAAGGACTGCAAGACTGTAGAACCTGCAACTGAAAGTATCTCTCTTTACAAAGGAGACAATATTTTTTTTGTTATAGACTGACATACAAAAGTCATATTTGATAATCATTTCTTTACTTTAAATATTATCAATGAATAAACATTTTCTCCCAAAAATCTCTTCACAGACTGTTCCTATCTTACCGATTTTATTTGACATGCTCCTTTTACAAGTCTTCGCATCTCCTCTTCCCAAGCCATGCAAGAGAACGGTGCGGACACAACAAGCTTTGAAGCATATAACCCAATCCTTCATAATCGTGGAGAAAACTTTTGCAGGAGCGAAACCCTCCATTAACGAAGTTCTTCAAATGAAACCACGAAAACAACGACGTGACATCACTTCCGCGTCTAGCATACAAGGATCCTCCGCATGTCCTTGGATATGGAGGAACACTAGGATTCGGCCGAATGAGTTCCCCTCTGTCTTTTCAAGGGCTGTTTGTTCAGGCTGTGGCCATTTCTGTGAGCCTGTGAGGTATGCGGTTATGGTTCTAGTTAAGGATGGCTGCGATCCAAAGAGTGGAGTGAGTATTTGGAGGTGGAAACAAAGAAGAATACCCATTGCCTATGTTTACAAGTCATGACATAGCTCCAAAGGACTTTTAACAAACGATTACGGGGCTTACAGCAGCGCACCTTACCTATCATTGCTCGATAAGTCACCCATTTCAGACACATTTTGGGCCAGTAAAGAGCTGAACACACACAGTTAAGGAATCTATAGGCACCTAATCTCGTGCCCAGATCTCTTTTCAAATCGCCGCGAATAATTCCACGTGAGTTTGAATCAGCCTCTTCGCTTACCGCTAAGACACTTCTGAACAGGCCTCAGATCCTGAAACTAACGCGCTGATTATATTTATAACAGATACAGATCTTATTTTTATCTAGATAAAAAAAAATAAGGACGTTTTCCTTTTAGACAATAATTTTATAAAAAAAAATGTTAGTAGAAACCCGCTATATGTATTTATAGATTTTTATGTAAATATTTTTATAACTTATATTCACAGTTAAATGTATTAACTAATGAACAACAAATTCAGAGGAATTACTATTAGAAATTATTTACATACGCATGGAGGAACTCTTAGATTTCTAAACACTTATTATTACAGATGTTTTAACTAATGAACAACAAATTCAGAGGAATTATTATTAGAGGTTATTTACATTCGCGCGGCGGAACTCTTAGATTTCTAAACAGTTTTTATTAAAAAAAAATGACTTGAAATGGAAAATATACAGCTATGTTTCAGATTAATTTATTTGTCATAATTTTCTTGTTTGAATGTCTTTTCCATCATGAGAAAAAAACTCAGAATGTTTGGTTGCTTATTTAAACCGGGTTAGGTCTACTGGGCCATGAACTTAAAACTTAGTTTACTGACCTAGTTCGAAAATTAGGTCAGTTTAAGAATTTTTACTGTTGTCACTGTGTGACGCTTAAATAATGTGGGGTTTATAACTCTGTCGTAATGTTCTCTGCAGCAGCCATTTCTCGATCTCTTACTCTAATGTTAAATTTGGTTGATCGAGAGTATATTGAACATTCAAATCAAAATCTAACGGAAACAAAATCATGCTCGAGCCTCTTGACAAACTTGTCTACTAAAACCTCGATCTTGAATGTAGGCAACAATAGCTTTCCGGGCCCGTTTAATAATTATCACGAGGACTTTCGAAATACGGGCCTCTGATCCGTAATATTAGCATACCGTAAAATTCCAACAACTGAGGAGAGTAGAAATTACTGAACATGAAAGAAGGCACTATTTGATGATCAGAGTCTCATTCAGTCTCTTTTGAGAGTTACAGAATGTGTATAAGCTTAGTATTAACAATAGATCGTAATATATCGACGCATTCAACCGTGATAAAGATAAAATGTCGAATAAAATGTCTACTTACGTACTCCAATATCCAACAAATACAAATTGTCTAGACCGATCTCATACGAGGGACATTTTTTAAACATAATAATTAATAACACTAAATAAATGATGATAGTAGAAAAAATAATGATAGTATTATTATTATATTATTGAATAATAATAATAATAACTAAAATATGTATCCATATTTTCATAACCTCTTCTCTTGATTATGTATTAATATTTTGAGGAGAAAATAAAGGTTGGAAAATGCATGATCATAATTTCTTTCGTTCTCGCCTTTCTTGAATTATGGCATATGAACTTGATATACAGTGTATACCACGCACCCACACGCACAGAAAATATCCCAGTCAGTCTTGCATGCATTATCTGATTGGCAAGTTTATATTGTTGATCTCTTCGAGCAACGATTCAGTACAAGTGACGCAACATTTTACCCATTATAATCTGTTATTTGAAATGAAGAACTGACGAAGGCCACCATATGTTTTGTTTAATAATTAGCAAATATGTGGTAATCTGTTGGCACACATTTCAAATGAACCTGATAAATTAGTATGTGTAATCAAATGGTGACGAGTGAAATTAGGGAATAATTTCACGCGCGTTTTAAAACGCAAGTGAAATTATTCCCTAATTTCACGAGTATACCATTTGATTACCTATTAATATCATGGGTGACGAATTACGTTAGCAATCTTGGATTTTGACATGTTTATCCTAGATCGCATCGATCGAGAACTCCACTCTCTCAAATGTTTAAACCTTCAATTTGGCTTATATAAAGTTCAGAATTTTTCAGACTTTTTCGGAAAAAATACCTGTTAGAATCCTTCTTGATGTTCTCTTGTGTGTTCAGGTTTTCAAAAGCGTCTTTTTGTGCCCTGACATATTCATTCACGGCATTTTAAAACTTCGTCGCCATCTTGACACTGAGACGTACGGAAGGGTTACCATGGCAATTTTGTAATTTCACATGTGAAATTACAAATTAACGCTGAAATTTCGCGCCAAAATTATGGAGTAATTCGTCACCTATGATATTATTCCTTCAAAACGGGGCTCTAATAAATTAGTCAGCAATATAAAATGACGTATCAAATTTTCCTAATCTGCCTTATCTAGATTATATATTTCCTGTAGCGCACCTCTCAAAGACCCAACACATATCAAAATTTCTTGTCTTGTTTTTGTGTTCAAAATAAGTTGTTGAAGACCAAACAGCACATGAAAGAAACGCCGTTTTAACAAACGATCGCCAGTTTTGTGACTTTTACTTCTCAAGCTAAGTCCTTCTGCTCGCACTGAATTTTGGGACGATTGTTGTTGTTGTTGTTGTTGTTGTTGTTGTTGTTGTTGTAGGTGTTGAGACGTCTTACAGATGACCGGAGTTGGATTACACTGCTCCCGAACAGTCTTGCCTCTTATTTCAGTTTGAAGGTTTGGGTATTTTCGCTTTTGTTCGTCAGAACAGGCTAATGAGGTTTCTCTCAGACATTTAGTTTGTGTTCCTGAATTACCCTGGTTGATGTTTTCTGTCTGGTTTACCATGATTGTGACTGGTCCCTCTTGAGATCCTCGAAAAGGGTCCTTGAAAATGTCCCTCTGTTGATGATCTGGAGACGTAGTTTGTGATGGGTATCGGCGCTCTTCTGTATCAACTCTTGAAGAGAGCGTGGTTTTCTGATCATTAGAAACAGACCAGTTGCTCAATGTTTTCGATGCTTTTAGGGAAGAACTTCTGGTTTTCAGCCGTTTTAAGGATGGCGATGACTTTTGTGCAGATGAATTCAAATTTAGTGAAGAACTTCTAACTCTTCTCGGACACATTGATGTCTGCTCTGGGAGATGCATCGTGTTGCCTTCAGGCGATTTCTGCTCGAAGAGATGAGAACCCGCTTCGATGTTGAGTGATCCAAGTGATGGATATGGGCGCTCTTCCGTATTAACTCTTGAAGAGAGCGTGGTTTTCTGATCAGACCAGTTGCTCGATGTTTTCGATGCTTTTAGGGAAGAACTTTTGGTATTCAGCCGTTTTAAGGATGGCGATGACTTTTGTGCAGATGAATTCAAATTTAATGAAGAACTTCTAACTCTTCTCGGACACAGTGGTGTCTGCTCTGGGAGATGTATTGAGTTGCCTTCCGGCGATTTCTGCTCGAAGAGATGAGAACCCACTTCGATGTTGAGTGATCCATTTTCGTTAAGCGGGTTTTTTGTAGTTCCCTGGGTTTGAGACACACAGTCAAGGCTGTTTTCAGCATGCCGCGTACTTTGTTCAATGATCTGAGACTCCACGAAAGTCGTCAGCTTTGCTTCCATACAAAAAGGAACGCAGCAAAAGTACTCCTGACACGTCTTTGAATGGTTCAGAGCCAACGACCTCGCTTGTTGGCATATGGGGCAATTTACGCTCGTGCATCGCTGTGTGTGTTTAAACATAAGTTTTGTGTTCACACACAGCGAAAATGGACAGTTAGGATCAGAACAGTCTAAAGCGTGCAGTACAAACTGTTCGAAGTGCTGTGGAGATACTGAAAGGGCTTTTTCGTCTTTGTCAGCTTTAATCTCGTGATCTGCCATTTTGGGACTCAATATAAAACCTACCAAATATAAAATAAACAGGACGTTATTAGGCAAATATACTGCTCTGACCAGTCGATCATGGAGTACTCAGCGAGTCCGGTAGTAGCTATATCTTAATACGTCAAATTAGAGGCAGCTTTATATCGTTACTGCTGCTTTACGTCCGGCCGTATATTTAATATCATCAGGAAAACAAATCAAGCTACATTACAGAAAATTCACAAGTGTCTCGTCTATGGTCCAGAGCTTTAAAGTGATGGTAACCTGCGATCATCTTTTTGTTTGGGAGAGGAGGGGAATAGGACGCGTTCTTTTTTTCCCCTTTCCCCGAAAAAAAAAGACGCCTGATCGCAGGTTAAAGTGACAGTAAAACTGTCGTGGTTGATGAACTAACGCGATTCCGCCGATTTTGACTGAAAGCATTCTATTTACAAATACACTTGATGTGCAGCTCTGTTTTTACACTGAGTACTGTTTAAAGAACCGGTGAAATGCCGGAGCTAGGACGGGGCTAGGATGTAACGTTTGGGAGCGATTTTAGCCTCAAAATATATTTGAGAAGTTCTTGCAGATAGGACAAAAAGTGCGTTGCTCTTAGAACGAAGTTGTTACAGTTTTAAAAATGTTGACTTTGCTGAGTTACTGGATTCATTTGAGCTACATAGCACTACTGAATGTTGATTTATAAATGAACGCCATCAGATTCTTGATCATGATAATTCTTTATCAACGCTTCTTGTAAAAACTTGGCAAAAAGGTACAACTAATATTCAGGCATTGTCTTTTAGGGTGTTCCAGTAAACTTTTCCTGCTGTAGTTATTCTCATCCTTAACGCATGATCTTAGATAGAAAAAGCTTTTATACTAGAAAATAGATCGTAGTCCACAAGTATTTCGAGCTGCTAAAATAGAATGATAATTTGTGTAGAGATAAACGGTTTCATACCTTAAGAGTTAGCGGTCAGTCGACTTTGCTGAATTGCTGAAGTCAGTCAGTTGCAGTATCGGAAATTAACCTGTTTCGACTGAGTTTCTCCTTAGTGTTCTTACTGTTGTTCTATCGACAGTTTTATATGCCGCTGTATTTGCCTTGCATAATTACAACGTAATGCGGAATTAATTCCTGAGAAAATCTTTTCCGGGACATTATCTTGGCGGAGATCTGCTGAGACGAGCTTATTACTTCCTAGGCTCAGCAAGTGTAGCTCTCTCTCTCTCTCAACTTACAGGGGCTAGTGTAATGGGCTTGTATTGCAATGCTAGAGTGACGTCTTTTGCGGAAACTGAACCCTAAATATTCACTTTGTTCTAACCTACCGAAGTGTGTTATGTGCACGTTCAGCCAGTGCTTTTAAAAATCGGCAAAACAAATTTGTAGGTTTTGTTCAACGTAGGATTAACAAAAGTGCATATGGGAGTTGAGTATGTTAAGACTTGATCTTTGTGGAGTAATTACAGATGACCAAAAGATAAACACGCAAAACAAACCAGATAATTAAAGAGACAGTATACAGCAGCCTCACCGGGAGCCGATCACGTCACACTGATTTAGTGTTAGGTGGAACCGTCACGCGCGTGCGTGGGTGGAATTAATGAGAGTGTAGCGTGGGTTTTTAATTTGTTATTATTGCTATTGTCACTATTATTTTAATTATTTATTTTTTACAGTTTTTAAATTTTAAAGTAAATGTGCTCAAATGTTACTAAAAACGTGCTTCTGTCCATGATTTGTTTGACTATTTTGATTGTTACTAGGCCACTAAACGAGCTCGATCAGTGCAGCACTGATCATTTTTAAAAATAACAGACTTATTATAAAAGCAAACTTAAGAAATAAGAGTATGAGAGGCAAAAGGGCGCCAAAAACACAAAGTGCCACAAATGTTTTGGTTCTTTGTCACTTGTCACGAAATCGAATTTGATGAAAAACGTCCACTTTAAATTACAAGCCTGCCACTTATAAGTGAAGTAGACACTTTGGATTTGAACTTCAACGCGAAAGACAACCATGAGAAGGTCTTCTGAAACAAAGTTTTAACACTAGTCCGTTTAATTCTATAGTGTATATTTGCGTGGGGAAATTACTATACGCCTCTCCCAAAAGATCAAAAGGTTTGGCTCAAGAACTTCAATAATTTGTTATGTTAAACCGGAAGCCAGTATGTTTTGACGGAAAGAACGTGGATCGAATGACGTGAAATGTAACAAAATTACTCAAAAATTAAGTTGCAACTGAGAATTAGAATGAAAAAGTGCAAAACTAGTAAATTAGGCTGTGTTAGTGCATTCCTTTGGTAAAAATTCAGGATAATCGTAACGTCGAAACGTCAGCGAGCTTATCAGTTAGATGTTTTCTCTGGACTATGCTGCAAGGTCTTCGCGCTCATGTACGGTTTATTTAATTATTAAAAAGTTATCAAAACTACATTTCGTTCTTTGTTTTTGTTTTGTGTTTGTTGTGCGCAAGCTTTACTTTCGCAAGAAGACAAACAAATACACTATTAAACGCGACAGTGACTGTTTAAAAAGTCATTAGAGACAAAGGTTAATCACTGGAACAGTAGGACGGATATCAATGCGTGGATTATAATTAGGGTTTTCCGATTTAGCGGAAGTGGAACTAGCCAGTTTCAAATGAGTTCAATTTCTAACCTTCCTATACGTGAAATTCCTTTAACACCGTCTACTGTAAGTAAATTGCTGGGTTGTTTATACCTTGTACTTCAAGAGACCAACTGCAGCTCTCAACTTTACATTATTCTTGCAAAGTTAATTATAATTCGATTCACCAAGAATATAAGAATTCAAGGAAGTAATTTCCATGGCCAACTCTTTAGAGTCTGAGGCTGAAGAAAACGAGAAAAAAAAGACTGAAATGTTCCTCTTCAGCCCCAAACAAACCACGGCACGTAAGTAGTGCAGGCAAAAAACACAATACTCCGCGAAATTCGGGCTTTGCACTCTCAGAAACAAAGGTGTTGAAGTATGGAAAGCGATAATGTTTTTATACGGAGCGTAGGAAGAAGGTTTTAACCCTATTCTTTCTACCATCAAAACTAAGCAGGCATTCAGCCTAATTTGTTTAAACCTCCATTTTGAACTAGCTTAAAATGTGTGTTTTTCCAAAGAATAAGCATGTAACATATGTGCTGCTTTGTTATTCTTTTGTTTCAATAAGTTGTCATACATGAGAATTCAAGTTCTGCAATCCCCCACCTTAGGGCCTGTTTACATGGAGGTGGGGGACTCCAGGTAGGTGAGGTAAAATGCGGCAGGTCACCCCGCCTATCATGTAAACGTGATCAAATTAAAATGAGAGATTATATGGACAGGCGGGTTACCTCATCTTCCTGGGGTCCCCCACCTCCATGTAAACGGGCCCTTAGTGGGAACTCATGGAATTTCGCACCAGTGTCATAAAATATTTGCATTCGCTTAGTTAGTTGGATTGCACCCATAATAGCTATGATTGCACATTCTGCCGTTTGTATAAATTTATTGAGCTTCTGCCATAGTTTTCAACCCTCACCCTAACTACCCACAAAATGCACAGAGTCGAATAGATATCTACAAGTAGAAGCTAGTAGACGAAATTGCGAGATACGATGCCTGGAGACTTCCCGCTGTCTTTCCCAATTGTAGGAGAGGAGATATAAAATGTTGTTCCTTTTCTGTTCATAAATTATCGTATTTATATGGCACTCGATGAGACAATGCAAACGATTCTTATTTACGTTTGACGTAGCAAATATAAAAATAACCTGCGATCAGGCCTCCCAAAGAAAATGGGAGACCGCCTGATCGCAGGTTAATGAAGTCAGATATCGTGAGAGATTCCCTGCCTGCCCAGGATATCATCCAGTACACAAAAGCAGAATTGTTTTCTTTTTTTCCTTGTTAACGCCTTATCTTTTTTAAACGACTTTTAAAAACCGTTAGCACCGAGGGTGAATTTATTTGCAAATGTGTATCGGCCAAATGCGACTGCTAGACGCAAATACTGCAAGTGAGTCCTCTTGTTGTAAAAAACATTACCAAGCATGTTTGTGCTCATTTATCCTTTTACGAGCGAGATATTTTGAAGAAACAATGACATCATGCAAAGATTTACTTATAACGAAAAAAATCGAGACGACTTTTTACAGTATAATGGAATCAGTAGAGAGGAGAAATGTGATAGCCAAATTTGTGGATGACATGACAGGGCCGAGGTTAAGCAACGACGACGGCGACACATTAACGAGAACCGCAAAATTTAGATTAGCAAAACAACAACTTTGCGTGTGCATCACGCTTTTTTTGTACATTTCGTCGTTGCACTACTGCGACATGAAACTTCCTAATTTCACGTGCCCGCTTTACGGAGTAGATGAACACAACACAACAAGTTTCTTTTTCTTTTTCAGATACCATCTTTCGGATTAAATTCAGAAAATTTTGCCAACATTTGACAAATTAAATGAAATTGAATAAGATCGATGAAGTTCGGAACAGTGCGAATTTACTTTTTAAGTGAATTTTCGGTTTGTTGTCATCCAAAAATTTTGGCAACGTGACGTAACAACTTCTCCTCTTCTCTTTAACATCTCGGAAAAATTTCTCAAACTTCCGCTAAATCGGAAAACCCTTAGCTAATGTGTTTTTTCCGTTTCCACTCAATCGTGCCCTTGGAACTTGAAGATCAGACGCGCTTGTCATTATTTTAAAAGATGAAAGGCTGTTAGTTTCCACTGAAACTTACAAACAGCCAAATACTTTACTGTATAAATATGACCAAATCCACTATTTAGCTTATGTATTAAAATAATAATTAAGTATTGATCATTTGTCAGTGACTTGATGATCAAGCCAACATTTTATGCATGGTTAAATATCTGTCAGGCTCATCGTCATGAATTGGTGACTTCATGAATACGTTTAGTTTGAAACATGCAATGAAGAATATCTTATGCCTGGCAAAAGAAAGTTAAAACAAACAAGAAGTTAAATGATTTTTT